GCGCGCACCGGGCCCCCGGGGCGTTGGCAGGCGGTGCGGACCGCAGCCGGAGGCCGGCCGACCTGGCTTCTCCTTCAGGATGAGCTGCTCAGAGCGCGGGAGGGGGCCCCTGCCTCTCTGAGTTCGGGGGGACGGCTTCCCGACGGTGCTTCCCGACCGCCGCCGTTACTCGGCCGACGCCCTGGGTCTCTGAGGTGGGTGCGCCGGGGAGGCGGTGATGTGCCTAACAGTGAAGTCATTCTGGAGATGCGGGGACCTTGCCTAGACTTCGTTACTTAGAGGTTGCAGAGATCCTCACCCTAAGTGCACGCGTCTCATTAAATTAAAATGTTGCTTCTAAGAAATAGTATGTATTACGGAGCTGCTCTTGGATGTTCTTTAAAAAGCTGTAGCAAAAGAAATTAAAATAACATTAGAAGTGTTACTCTGGCTAAGAAGTCGTTTACATTGCTTATGCATTTTAAGTCTCCGATCTTAAATTGCATACACGTTTTAGTTAGAAAATGAATAGCAGCTGTAACCTTACATTCTAGTTTTCATAATTTGAAACAGTTTCTGTAAGTAAGGCATGAAAAGTTCCACTTTTGGAGTTCATCGTAACTCTTTTTTTTTAATACAGGCCTAATTTTTATTCTCAAATGTAAGATCCACCCCCAAGAAGAATATTTTTTATTGCTGTGGAAAGTTGCATCAGAAATAGTTATGAAGGATGAAAAGTGATACCCACTATGTACTAATGACAGCCTTTCTTGTGATGCAGCAGGACTGTAGAGAGGATGGAGGAGAGCCAAAGGAGGAGTCTTTCTTTGTTTTTACTTTAGATCTGTCTAATATTAGAGGACCCACAGAGCTGCTTGGTTTTAGATTGCCCATTGTTCTCGGTGAAAGATAAGGAGCCTATTTTGTGGGAAACAGGTTTTTGCACATCAGGAGTCACCATTAGGAGTTTAGAAAAGATGATGGAACTTGGCCACAGGAGTTCTTCTGAGGTCATTTTAATAATGCATTGACATTGTGTTCCAAGTGCATTTTACCCTGTCTAACCTTCTACCTTCTAATCTGAGTCATGACATGACACCATTTCGTGAACGTAAACTATTTACACGTTGATACTTTCCACTAGGAAAGCTGTTAGTTGTTGTCTGAATAGTCTGACAGAGAGGAACAGACTTACAGAGAAGAAAATCAAGTATTTTGGGAAAAAAGTCTAATAGGAATCCTGTTTTCACTTCTCAAACTATGAGAAATAAGGCAGGAACTTTCCTCACTGAGGAGATAAGTTGACCCTCTCCCACAGTCCAAAATGGTATTTGTTGTTTTGGGGGATCTGTACGTGTGGGCTGTAGTTGCAGGCAGTACCACAAGGACTTTTTGAAATCTGTTCTTTACCAGCGTTTCCCTTCAGGACAGCTTGCTTGTCCGTCAGATAACTGACACAGCTGAGGAGGCCTCACGTCCCAGATTGGTGAGGTTGTTTTTCATCCATATCCTCTGACATTTTTCATACATGGTGCACAGAATTTTATTATGTCAAACATTGCTTATTTGTGGCTTAAAGATAGTCTTAGTAAAATGTGAGGAAGGATATCTAACTTGACTAGAGGCTAAGACCTCTTTTCTGGAACATAGTTGACATACTTGAAAAGAATGATGCAGTACAGAAAAATTTTGAATGTCAGCATTAGAAGTTTGGAAATGGGGGACTGTCCAAGAATTTTAACGGAGGAATTGATGTAGCTAGTGTCTTTCCTGCTTCTTTCTATCAGCATTTATTGTTTTTAAATTTAAATTTTATTGCTTTGAATAGGTAATACATTCATATTGTTTACAATTCAGAAGGCACAAAAGATTGAAAAATCTTCTCGACCACGCAGTTCTCTTCCCTGAAGGCAGCCAGTATTACCAGTTTGTTGTGTATCCCTGCAGGGGTACGGCTCGCGTGCACAGGCAATTGCGTGTGTTTGTATAAGTGTAAGGGTTACATACATGTGTGCACACGTAAGTGAAGGTAGGTTTGAGTATAGACGAATGTATTTCCTTTTAATACACAAATAATAGTATGTCTTTTTAAAATTCTGATGCTTAGGAATTAACCCACATTAAGCAATGTGAATGTTGCTTCTTTCTCTTTGACTTGTTTGTGGATATTTAAGTTTTGCCATTTCAAACAGCCGCAGAGGATAACTCTGTATAGGTATCATTTTTGTGCATTTGGAAATTGTTAGAGACCGTAAGATGCTGTCAGGCTGGTATAGTGATTTCCTCTGATGTTAGAAGCGGAAGTGTGGAAAGGACATTCATTTATAATTGGGGTTTCTTACAGTAATGAAATTAGAACAGCATGCACGTGTGTCTTCAGTTACATGTTATGATGATTTTGGATGTGTAAGCCTTTAGTGCATTTTGTTGTTACCTTTTATTTCATTTGGTCCAAAAACCTAGGATTGTAATTGAGTGGAGAAGTCTCATGCCTAGGAAGTAAGTTCCTTCCTAGTTAGAGATGCCGTGAGACCCCGAAAGTAATCTGTCTTCTCATGTTTTCCCCTTCTCTTCCTCTTGGTGTCCTGTGCTAGTCTGGTGCAGGCTCTGCAGAAAAGGAGGGATTGTAGGTTGCTCTGAAACTCATCTGCCACATGTCTTTGATTGTTCAGAAAGGTGTCTGCACTGGACATTATTTGATGACAGTTAGGGTCATCTTTCTTCACTACAGGGGTAGTGGATCCTCGCCCACTTCCCTGAGGCGATGGAACACACTACTAGTAACGCGTAGACGTTAGAACTCGATGTAGGGCCTCTGTCTTGTTATGGGGTCCCTCAAAAGGAATTGGCAACTAAATTTGGAAGAAGGGGCAAATGGACTGCTTTTGTTTTTCTTTCTTGGCAAACATCACAGAAAAATGATGGTTGTGAAATAATCACATTATATGGTTATTACTTAATGTAATTTGGTTTGTGAAATTTAGTTTTCTCAGATATGTTTATACTTTTTCCAAGTAGCATAGTAATGTATTTTGTCCTGGAGATATCATTAAATTCCGGCTGGTACCCAGATAGCTGTTGTATTATACCATTTGCCCAAGCGTAGGCTTGAGAGTATGTTTGGAATGACTTTTCTTTCACTCACTAGTGATGCTGCAGTGTTATTGTAATAGTTAATTTTTGGTTTCTCTTAAAGTTGATAAAAGCTTTGACTTTTTTATAGAAATTTTGAAAGAGAAAAGTTTTCGAAGGCAGAAGAAGGCTCTTTCCCACAAATTTCTATGAAGCCTCTTTATCCTGTGATTTTATCATGGGCAGAGTTCTGGCCTTTAGTCCCACAGGCCCAGGATATGAATTTCATCATTTAAGGAGACTGAATCATTTTTCAGAGGCCAAATAAAATTAAACTTACTGTTAATGGATGAAAACAGAACATGGATTTGTTAATTTACAATGAGAGATATGGTAAACTCAGAAATCTAATATCATCTTCATGATAAGCCCATTTTCTCCTTTTAAAAGGGGATCGTGCATAGGCCGTCTGGTTGCTGTGGGATGGAAATAGAGAAGAGCAAGTTAGGTGAATTCATAGTTTTCACGTTATTTATTTGTATTTTATTTATTGTTTTATTGAAGGAGAGCTGACTTACTGTATTAGTTCCAGGTGCACAACACAGTGATTTGATATTTTTATACATTACAAAATGATCACCATGACAAGTCTAGTTACCACCTGTCACCACACAGAGGTCTGACAGTGCTGTTGACTGTATTCCGTGTATTGCACGTTACATCCTCATGACTTATTTATTTTATAGCTGGAAGTTTGTACCTCCTGATCTCCCTAACTGAATTCATTTATCTCCCCCACCCCAACCCCTCTGGCAGCCACCAGTTTATTCTCTGTGTCTTTTGTTATGTTTCTTCATTTGTTTTTTTTTTTCAGATTTTGTTATGTTTCTTCATTTGTTTTTTTTTCAGATTCCATAGATAGGTGAAGTCATACATCATTTGTCTTTCTCTGTAGATCTATCCATGTTGTTGCAGATAGCAAAATCTCATTCTTTTAGTGGCTGAGTAATATTCCAGTGTGTGTGTGTGTGTATGTCTGAAAAATTAATAAATTGTTCATATCAAAATAAACTTATATTTAAATAAAATTGAAAGGCAAATGGCATATAAGCAAAAAAAACTTATGATGGAAAAGGGCTAATATTTTCATTAAAGAAGAAGCCTTTTTACAAACTAATAAAAAGTAGACTATCCCAGTAGGAAAAGGACAGAAAACCTGAATAAACAGTTCAACAGAGAAGAAATATAAATGTTTAATAAATGTAGTAGAAGTTTTCAAGTTCATTGGTAAGCAAAACAGCTTTACATAAAAAGGAGCCTCTCTTTCCCCTGTCAAAGGCGGTGAGTAACAGTAACAGCAGACGGTGACACAGGGCTCCCGTGCACCAGGGCTGTGCTCAGTGCCGTGCTGACGTTGACCAGCCCTCCAGTGCTTCTGGAAATTGGTGCTGTTGTTGCCCACATCACATAGGTGAACAGACTGAGCTGCTTATAGAGAAGTGACTGTCCAAGGTCACGGAAGAAATAAGTGTCAAAGCCAGGATTTAAACCCAGGCTCCCTGACTCAAAGGGTTTAGTGCTTTAACTGTTAACCCTTTATTGCTTCGCAAAGATGTAATAAATAATAACCAGTGTGAAAGGAGTACATGGAGCAGGCACTTTTTGTTCACTGCTGGTCAAAATGCAAGTTAGAAAATATTTCTATAAGACAGGTAAGCAGTATGGTTGAAAACTGTAACATGTCTGTTATTTGAATTCGGAGTTTATCCCAAGGAAATCTTTGTAATAGGTACATAAAAATTTCATCTGAAGTCCTTTTATGATAGCAAGCACTGTAAACACCTGAAATATCTAGTAAGAGGGGATTAGTTACATAACTTTGGGAAATATTCTTATTAAGCTTGTATTCTTAGGGGAGGTAATGTAATCTGGCTAATTAGCTCATGTGGGAAAAGTTTTGCTGCTTTCTCCATGTACATTAGGTGTTTGACTTTCCAGGGTATTCCTATAAAACTGATAAAATTGAAATGTTACTTTTTTCTCTTTTTACATATTTCTAGGTTGCATGAATAAAATTGAGATAAAACTTATTTAGCTTTCAGTAAAGATTTTATGTATCTTTTTTTTTAAGTAACCAAATTGCTAAGGAATTAGAATTTGAATTAACCATTATAATTGTTATGGATGACATGTTTTAATCACTATTCACTGTTACTCTTTTTCGTGTGTGTGTGATGTCTAGCACGTCATTAAGATGCCTTAGTGGAACCATGGAGAAGTACGTCAGAGTACAGAAGATTGGAGAAGGCTCCTTCGGAAAAGCCATCCTTGTTAAATCCACAGAAGATGGCAGGCAGTATGTTATCAAAGAAATCAACATCTCAAGGGTAAGCATGTTTTCCGTTTGGTTTTTCTAGTAGAAACCTGGCTACAAAAGGGCTCACTGTTAGAGACTCTGAAAAAAATACATGGCAATACATAACCTGAAGTGAAGGACTGTTGCGGTTGCGGGGAGACATGCTGTTTCGGAGTAGCCTGTAAGTCCTTTCTGGTTGTTTCCTGTGATGTGCACTGTGTTTGTGTTTAAAAGAGATGCAGCACCTGCTGTTCTGAACCTTAATCTAGTTTGAACACCTTAAAATGTCCAGTGGATTCAACTCATTCTGTTCGACTTCTGGCTGTGCTTTAGTATTTGCACTCTAAGGGACTTTCAGGTTGCATGTAGATGGTTCCACTGACTGTTTCCTCTTCTCTCCTGTGTCAGATGTCTAACAAGGAGAGGGAAGAATCGAGGAGAGAGGTTGCAGTGCTGGCGAACATGAAGCATCCGAACATCGTCCAGTACAGGGAGTCCTTCGAAGGTCAGATCAGTTTGGCATGAGGGCTCAGAAGGTCTCCTAAGCCGTGTGACCGCTGCTGTATACTTTCCTTTCAAGGAATCATTTTGTGACTTAGTCTCAGGAAGAAAAGTACATTATTGCTGGTTCCATACCTGTGCGTGTGAATGTCAGCGGATCCTTGGGTAACACTGACAGCACACTGTCCCTGCATGGCTTCACAGGGCTCACTGGCGCTAGGGTTGCTTAAAAAGAGCCAGTGTGGTGAGTGTGGGAATTTGGACAAAGCAAGAGCAGTCGTTTACAACTTTTAAACTAAACTCCTTTTACGTGCTGCCACTGCAGCCACTGAGAACCATCCTAGTCGTTAGAAGGTGCCCTGCTGGGTGGTGTTCTTCCATGTACCTCGTTACTATAATGCTGAGGTACGTGGAGAGTCTTCTCAGGTCCTTAAGACGTTACGAAGCATTGCTGTTTTGGAATCACACACTGTCATATTTGGTAACTGAGGGGAGCTAAGGTAAGACAGCAGCTCCAAAGGCAGGTCAGGGTGGTTTACTGACGTCCTGCTGAAGTCATCCCCGTGATTATCATAAATCCCTGTTAATTACAAAACTAAAAGATAACTAGATTGAAAGACAGTTTAAATGAGTGTTTCCAGGTCACATCACCAGTTTCAGTGTCTGAATTTGAGTTAAGGTACCCCTGTGCCCGAATAAACTTGGTATCTGTTAAAGCAGAGAGATGAATTAGCAGCTGTGTTGTAAAGTACTCGGTGTGCTTGCTTGCTTTATGGTGACAGTGGAATGAGGCTGCATACCTCATGTGAAGAAGTACAGCGTTCACCATCTCGTCCTTCCCAGGACCTTGAATTTCCTTTATCTTTCTTCATCTGGCATTTTTTCAGCTTTTAAGGTGAGAGGCGGCGAAAGGAGAGACGTGTCAGGGTTGCAGGGTTAGTCAGCCAGCTATACGCGGCCCTGGCTCGTGGCTTCCGGTCACCTCTTCGGTCGTTTTCTAACAGGCACCGAGACGTTGTCACTTGCCTGGCAGGCTTTTTGCTTCAGTGTTGAGCAGTTTCTAGGTGGTAGTTGTTTTGGTTTTTTTGGAGAGTGTTTCCTCAATACCCTATGGGCCCACTGGGGACAGGGGTGGTGTCTTATATTCTGGTGCCCCTTAGCCTCTCATGCACAGCGCCTGGGACGTAGTTGGCCCTCAGCTGTTTGAATGATTGAAGGAATGCAAGACAGATGAGTACTTCCCTCACGGAGAAAAGACTTTCCTGTTAACCTTACATTTTTACTAGTTATTTATCCCCAAGTAAATGATGAGTGCTTTAGGCATCAGAAAACATTCAGAGCTCATTTCATATCAGGATCACTCCCTGTCCCTTTCCCAGGGCCTGTTTAACCTTCTCTGTCTCCCTGTCTCTGTGTCTCTCACACAGACACACACTCACCTTTAAAGAAATCTTTTGATAGTTTTATTTAGTTTTTGATACGTGCATACGGTACAGAATCCAAAGGTTACATGACAGTAAAACGTTCTCCCGCTCTTTCTGCCGTGAGCCACCTGTTTTTCTCTCCTGGAGGTCACCCCTGCTTATGCTGTCTTGTGTTTCCTTGCAGAAAAATTCCAAGCACTAATAAGCACACAGAAATAACAGCAACTGTACGTAATTGTTTGCTTTTTGTTTCTTGTGGCAGCACCCTACGTATATTTTCACAAGTAGTGGATTGTACGGTTTTCTGGTTTTTGTTTTTTTCACATAGTGATTCCTCACGTGTGTATTTGGATCACCTTTTCATATCAGTTATGAAGAGTTGTCTGGATTCTTAGTTAGCTCAGTCACACAGGTTCCCAGACCCTGGCACATCAGGAGTATGTGCAAGGTGCCTGTGACACTGCGAGCAGCAAGACGAGCACGAGACGTAGGACGTGAGTCCTGCGGGGTGTCAGGCCGTCAGCACAAGGCAGCAGGAGCGGTGAACGCTGGGCGGCTGTTCTCTGAGTTGTCAGCATCAGGGTTGGCCCCTCTGCCTTACCCGGGGGAGGCAGTGCCGTCTCATTCCTGCGTGAGAGTGAGGGTGGGGGCAAGGGTTAGCAGTAGTCTTCTAGTCCCGTCTGCTGCCGGAAGATCAGGAAGTCCTTTGTCCTGTGGACCTAGGCGTCACGGTGATAGACAGTGCTCAGCAGGAAGAAAGCCGGAGCGCCCCCGGACCGCAGGGACGCCCCCTCACTGCCGCATCCTCAGAGCTCAGCGCAGAGCCTCTTATTGTGTTTGTTGAGCAGGTCGTTGAGTGGATGCAGCAAAGCTGCACAGTCACGGCCAACCAGCTGGCAGCCAAGATCACCCACCTCTGACAAATGGGTGGAAAAACATGATTCTTGTGGATGATGTTTAAGGAAATATATCTATCAAACAAAATTAAGTCTCTCTGTCTGCATTTTGTCTATATTCCAGGGTGTTTGTGTCAGTGTGGACACTGCTATCCAGTGGGATGCTGTGTTCTTGGTAGAAGAATCGTTCCTGACGACGTTGTCTGTTACCCATGTTACTGCACAGTCTGTGTGACCAGTGTTCCTTGACTTTGCCCTTTGGTTCTTTTGACTGAGGTTCTGTTTTTGGTTTAACGAAATGCAATTAATTACTGCTGCTTAGTGGTAAATGTTTAGGTACCTTTAGTATAGCTATGCTTTTGATGTACATTTTATTTTATTTTTTACTTTTTAAAATTAAAGTGGAGTTGATTTACAGTATTGGGTTAGTTTCAGGTGTACAGCAAAGTGATCAATTAAACATAAAGGTACATTTTTACATTCTTTTAAAAATTCTTTTCCATTACAGTTTATAACATGATGGTGAATGTCGTTCCCTGTGCTGTACAGTAAATCCTTGTGGTTTACCTATCTTATGTATGGTAGTGTACATCTGTTATTGATCCACGTTTTTAAAAAAGAAATGTAATGTTTATGTTTTGTAGAAAACGGCTCTCTTTACATAGTGATGGACTACTGTGAAGGAGGGGACCTGTTTAGACGAATAAATGCCCAGAAAGGTGTTTTGTTTCAAGAGGATCAGGTGAGTCAGCATGTAGGGGGTGTTGAGAAGTAATTCAGCATTTGTTTGTTCATATACGTGTTTATTTGTAGCTACAAGTGCTAACTGTGAGGACTAGGCGTGGTCGTTTGGTGGCATAGTCCAGTATCGTGGTCACATTTCTGTTTTAGTTACCTCTCTGCTTGGTTCGGTTCCCATCTCATGTCCCGTCTGTGATAATATTGTTATGTGTGTAATAGATGTTGTGTCCTGTGTCTGTATGTACGTGTGTAAATAAATACATATTTAAGTAGGTGACTTAATTATTCCTTGTAACTGATTGATTATTCTGTACCCTGTCAGTCTGGCTTATTGCCGCTGGACCATATCTTTCTGAAATGTGGCTTTGCCAGGTAACTCCGGTCCTGGAAGCCTCGCACTGGCAACTGCATTAGATCTAATCTCCGTTTTGATTTCAGGGATCTCTAAAATATGAGCCCATTCTACTTACACAGCCTGGTGGTTTTCTGTTCCCTAATGTGTGCCTTTTTCATTGACTTAAAGGATATTTATCGTGCATGCATTTTGTGGTCTGCACTGGGGCACGTTTACACCTCTCGTTCTTCTTCCTTTGTATGTATTCTGATTATTTTATTTCGGTAATGCCTCCCTCCCAGCCCAACTCTCCGTTACTAATATTCTGCCTTTTTTTTTTTAAAAGCTCAGCTCAAGTCTTAACCTTTTCTTTATACTTCCCATAGGCCCTGTGATCTTCTGTGATCTTTTCCTTCTCTGAACTCCTGTTGTGTCTCTCATACTACCCACTCTTAATTTTGCTTGCATGCTCCTGCATAGGGGAAGGGAGGGCACGCTGTGCTGGAAGTGTCGTCCTTGTCCCGTTTAATTCTGTGACCCCCCCCGACCTAGCAGGCTGTGGTTTCCTCTACTTAATAGATAAGAACCCCAAGGTGAAGTAGCTTGCCCCAAATCACAGTTGGTGTTTGAACCTGCTTCTATCTAACCCCAAAGGTTATAAGATTTTCTTTTTATAAGATTTTTCTTTTTGCAAACTTAAATTGTAAAGTTAGTCAGAAGTTTGGAGGTAGAAAGTCGTCTTCTCCCACTGCTCCATCCTGGGGGTTACCTCTGACTTGGTTTTGGTGTCTCCCAGACTTCCTTGTTCATATTGCATGTGTAAGTGTGTGTGCAAGACACAGTCACACATGGGGTCACATACATACCTTGCTCTGTCTTTTTTTTTAATTGAAGTATAGTCAGTTTACCATGTTGTGTCAGTTTCTGGCTTACAGCACAGTGTTTCAGTCATATATGTGTTATTACAGGTAGACTGCATGCAGTAAGATGCACCTGAGCGTGGTTGTCATTCTCTTTGCCCTTTTCCTGACCCCTCCCTGGTGGAATTACTTGCTCTCAGTGTATGTGCTGTTAGAAGACCGGTGCATTTTATTATAGGTATTTGTCTAAAAGTATATTCCTACCACTGCGTGAGCTCAGAATCAGAGGGCTGTATTTCATTTTTTTACTTAAAATGCCCTACAGGAATAGGGAAAGGAGCTTAAACATTTGTGTAGTCCTCAGTAAATACCTCCCAAACTGAACTCAGAGGTTTGATTTTTTTTAACTAATTTAAAAATTAATTTTAGGTTACTTTAATATAATATTTGTTCTTTAAAAAAATAGTAGCTAGAGAAGAGTAAAAAGTAAAACTGGTTACTTTCATTCTTCTGAAAATCCACTTCCCTGACAAAGACACAGCTACCGACAGGTCGCTGTGCTGTGTGTCCCCCTGCACATGCCTCACAGTCATAGACAGTCACGGAGAGTTCAGGTGTGTGATGGACATGAACATACTTTAAAAAAGGAGTGAGCCATGCATGCTGTTCTGGGCCTTTCTTTCCCTTCAGTGTGTACACACAGCGAGGTCCTTCATTCTCCCCAGCGGCTGCACAGTATTCCAGTGATGCCAACAGTGACCTCTGACCAGGCCCCCGGATGGACGTTTAAGTCTGTAGGTTTATTTATTTTATTTTTTTTTGATTTATGCAACATTGGTCCATGCATGGCCCACTTTCATTTATTCGCTTAGTTGGTTTTTTTTTTAACATTTTTTATTGATTTATTAGGTGTGTAGGTTTAGATGGGCGAGTAGTGCTGGGCTAGACATCCCTGTACATCTCCATTTGTGTTTGTGACACTTTATCTGCAGGATAAATTTGAAATTGCAGTTGCTCTTTCAGATGGTGGGTGAAGGGAACATTTTTATATTCTTTGCCAAGTAACTGTAATCAGCTTTCTCACAAGCAGGGTGTGCAGAGACCTGCTTCCTCATTGACCAGCACTGTTTATAACTTCTGTTTTGTCAGGTGATATCTTGTTTTAATTGCCGTTTTTTGATTTAGGGGGAGAGTTGTGTGTGGTTTATGTGTTTATCGGCTTCCATTTCCTCCGTCACTTACCTTGCCCGTCTTGTCCGCCTCTTATTTGACTGCCAGTGTTTTGCTCGGTGATTTTGAAGAGCTGTTGTGTATTAGAGAACTAATAATCTGTCAGTTTTGTTGCAGGTATTTTCTCAAATAATCATTAAACCTATTTATATGTTTTGCCATCCAGATGTTTTATAATTTATATAGTCAACTTTTTTTGTGACTTGTGGGTTTCATATCATGTTTTGGAAGTCCTGCTTCAACCGAAGACTATAGAAAATTGCCCTGTTTTCTTCCCTCATTTTACAATTTGTTTTCATGCTTACAAATGCCGTCTGCTTGGAATTGTTTTGGTGTTAGGAGTGAGGTAGCAGTTCAGCCTTTTTACTTTCAAGTGGCCAGCTCCCAAATGTGTGTTTATGTGTGATGAGTGTGGGGAGAGAAAAAAGCCAGAGATGTCGCCCAGATTTCCAGCCTGACTTTCTCCTCTCGTGGTTTCTACTTATATAGAAAAAAGTTACACTTAACAGCAAAGGACAGTCCCTCATCATCATGCTCTCCTAAAACATGAAGTATTTCCATTTTCCACTCTTCTCGGGAAACTTCTTTCCATGTGCATTCTGAGCTGTAGGGATCCTTCAGTAGCAGCGTCCTCCGTTTAGACTTAGCACGGGCGCCGCACACTGTATGTACGTCAGTTGGCCTGAATGTCTACTTAATGTTGGTCACATTAATTACTGTGAAATTAAAAATTATAGCCTAATTATTTTAAGGATTTAGTTCCCTTTGTCCCAAATATTCCTGAATCCTTTTAATGATCAAGGAAGGACTACTGTGAAGTGTAAATTTAAAAAAAAATCACAGATCTGATTTTTTACCCCCCTAGATTTTGGACTGGTTTGTACAGATATGTTTGGCCCTGAAACATGTACATGATAGAAAAATTCTTCATCGAGACATCAAATCACAGGTATGTTGATTCTGTCACTAACACCTTCTAGGTGGGCGTGGGTGTTGTCTTGGGCTGAACTGTGTGGGTTTCATGCCGTCAGAGTCAGACTGTCTCCCCATCACTGCCCCCTTGACTGTAACCCAGGAATCCTCCTCACAGGCAGCCTCCTCTTTCTTGGTTTACTTTCTTGTTAGGATGGAGAAATCCAAAAATACGATTGTGTGGAAGGTGTATTTTTTTGAGAGATTGTGTATTTGAAGACGACTTCATTCTCTTACCTTAGTGATAATTTGGATATAAACTTCCAGTTTGGCAGTTATTTTCCTACAGAATTTTGAAGATGTTGCTCTTTTGTCTTTTGGCTTCTCGTGTTGCTGTGTAGGAGTTTACAGTTTCTTGCCCTTGTTTGTTGTCTCTGGCTGACTTTAGGATATCCTCTCTGTCCCCATTGTTCTGAAATTTCGCAGAAATTTGCGCATCGGTGAGGCTCCGTTTTTATTCCTTATGCTGTGTACTTTTAGGGTGGGGGTGGAGGTAATTAGGTTTATTTATTTACTTTTTATTTAATGGAGATATTGGGGATTGAACCCATGACCTCGTGCATGCAGCTAAGCATGGACTCTTCCTCTGAGCTGTACCCTGCTTCCTGCACACTTTTGAGAATGTGTATTTCCTTTAGAATTGTTCTGAACAATGTTTAGCGGTGTTTTTTCAGGCAGTATATCTCTGTGGCTACTTTCACTGTCATCTCCTGGGTTTTTTTCTAGACAGATGTTGGAGCCTCTTAATCTGTCCCTGCAAGCATCTTACTTGTTCTTCCGCGTTTTATCTCTGTTTCTCTCAAGTTGTATTCAACATGAATTTTTCAGCCTCCTTCGAGTCAACGAAGCCCCTTTCTCACTTTGTGCAAATCAGTGCTTGTCTCATCTCTTTCTCTTTTTATCGTAATGACTGTGTCTGTCTCTCCAAGATGTCTAAATGGCTTTTCATACGTATCTGTTCTTCCTGTAGTTGGTTTTTGTTTCATAATGTCTTGTTCTTCTCAAATGCATATTTATTTCCTCATTTATTTCTTTGCTATTGTCAAAATATATTTACTTCAAAGTTTTTGTTGTGTAAGATTAATTCTGGAGTGAATTCTTGTTCTGATTGTTTTGTTGGTGGTTTTTCTTTGCGTTAGATTTCTTCGTGTGTGTTAGGTTTTGTCTCCACGGCTCACGCATCTTTGCATCAGGATTTCTTTCACGGCTGCCTGACTGGGGCTCTCAGTCCCCAGAGTTGGGGTGCAGGGGCATTGTCTCCTGGTGTTGAGGCCGTGCGTCTGTCTTCCTGCCCCTGTAGGCCTCTTATTCTGTACCCGGGTATCCCCAGGAGGAAGAGGAAGAAGTGAATATGCTGTCTCCCGACCTCTGCCACCGACTCCCACTTCAGACCTTTCTAGCACCTTCCACTTGGCCCCGCCTTGGCCACCTGTGGCTGCGAGTGTGTGCTTGACTCAGACCTCCTGGCTGACAGTGGGTCAGCTCGTGCTGCCCAGCGAGCTCCTGGCTGCACTGTTGGATGATGGATCCTGGAAACCAGGAGCGCACTTTCTGTCTGTGGATGTGCCTCTTCTGGACACTCTGTTTAAGTGGGGTCACATGGTTGGTGACTGCCTGATGTAAAACAACTTACTTGGTTGTTACTGAGTTGTAAGAGGTCTTTATTCTAGATACAGATTCTCTGTCAGATACATGGTTTGCAAACATTTCCCCCGATCCTGTGGGTTACATACTCACTTTCTTGATGGTGTCCTTTGCACAAAAGTTTTTAATTTTGATGGAGTCCAGCTTATCTATATTTTCTTTTTTTGCTTGTGCTTTTGGTGTCAAAGCTAAGAAATCATTATGTAAGCCAGTGGCATGAAGGTTCACTGCAATCCCATAGGAGTCTTATGGTTCTTGTATTTAGGTCTGGAATGGATTTGAGTTAATTTTTGCATATGGTGTGTGATAGCGGTCTACATTCATTCTTTAGCGTGTGGATATCCAGTTATCCCAGCTTTATTTTTTAACTGGATTCATTTTTATGACAGAAGTCATCAACTCAGAACTGGACTATAGCAATATTTCTGGGGTTTTTTTTCCATCTCTTTTATAGAATATATTTTTAACCAAAGATGGGACGATACAACTTGGAGATTTTGGAATCGCTCGAGTTCTTAACAGGTAACATCAGTTTTAAACTTTGATTTGAAATAATGTCTTCAGTGAGATTTTAATCCATGCTGATAGACTGGTGATAATTTATAACATCTTCAAGTGTCTCAAGCTTCTCCACTTTCCTCTTTGTGTTCTAGCACTGTGGAGCTGGCTCGAACTTGCATAGGGACCCCGTACTACTTGTCACCTGAGATCTGTGAAAACAAACCTTATAATAATAAAAGGTATTTAAAATGATATTCATTACTTGATGTATTTCCTTTGCATCTTTGTTACACTGTATTTATTAACTTTCAGAATATTCTGAAATCAATAATACACATGTGTAAACATATATATACACAGATACACTTTTTCTATACATCATGAGGGAAATTATAAAGAAGCTATTTCATTGTCTTACTGAAGAAATTATAGAGAGAATTATTTTATTATTTAAATTACAATGAGAAATAGAGTGCTTTCTGTGTCTTTCTCTTTGTGATAGTCGCTTCTTGTTGAATTATATTCATTAATATTTATTGAACACTGTTTAAAATGCTTTCTGTGTATTAACTCTTTTTGTCTTCACGGTAACCTTGTGAGTTGTAGGCATTAATCGGTCCTCCTTTCCTTACGAGGAAACAAACGCAGAGAGAGGGGAAGTAACTTCAGAGCCCCTTCTTTTGTTTCCTTTAAATGAAGAACATTTTAAGTAAATTCTGATGCTGAGAGAAGGTCTCTTGTTTTTCTCTTTCCTAGTGACGTCTGGGCTCTGGGGTGCGTCCTTTACGAGATGTGCACACTTAAACATGCAGTAAGTGAGGGTTTCTCAAATTATTTCTAAAGTTACATGAAAAAGTATCTATAGTATCTCTATTTTTTAAAAAAATCAATGTATTTTAACTGCTAGGAGAATTCAGCATTTAACAGAACTCTTTTAAACTTGCTGTAATCACCAGTGCCTGATTTATAGCATATTTTGTTTTCTTAATGTGTGTATTGAGAACACATTGACAGCGTACTTTAGCTGAGTTGTCAACAGCTTGATTTTACCTTCAAAATGAAGTCTTCTTTAGATTTTAAACCACCCCACCTCTCTCCCCCCACTTTAATTACAGTTTATGTCGTGTTTAATCCTGAAGTGTGTGTTCCCACTGATAAGGCTTGGGCTCCCCTTTGGAGTGTTATTACCAGAAGCCAAGTGGACCTTGCTCTGGAGAGCATATGCTGGTTCGAACGCTGGGAAGAGGACTGTTTCTGCTCTTTGTCGACAGGAGAACTGTTTCTCATTGTTGTGGCGCCCATTTTCGATACCGGTGTTTTCATGCATGTTCGTTTGTTTTCTGGGTTTTAGTTTGAAGCTGGCAGCATGAAGAACCTGGTGCTGAAGATAATTTCCGGGTCTTTCCCGCCTGTGTCTCTGCATTATTCCCACGACCTCCGCAATTTGCTCTCTCAGTTATTTAAAAGGAATCCGAGGGACAGACCGTCCGTCAACTCCATCCTGGAGAAGGGTTTTATAGCCAGACGCATTGAGAAGTTTCTCTCCCCTCAGGTGGGTAGGTTTTCATCGCGTGACTGACACTGAGCAGTAGGATTTTGGCGCTTACTGGGACCTGGCGCCTCTGTCCGGAGCAGAGCTGTCCCCACCACACCGAGTCCCCTTCCTCTCCCTTCCTGTCGGCTTTCGCTCATGCCTCTGTTGGTGGGAAAGCTTTCCTCCTGTGTTTCCTCTTAGCACTTAATGCCTGACTTCCCACACTTCTCGTCACCCCATGTCTGGCAGTGTCCTCACACCAAGCAGTTCTGCGTGTCCTGCAGAGCTCCCCTCAGGCCTGACCCTTGTGCCTGGAGACTGCATCAGATCCACGGTCTCCCACAAGATGGCCCCCACTCCGCTTACCACCCGTGCTTCTGACCCACCAGCTAATAAAATCACAGGTTCCCCGGGTCCCTTCCTCTGGTTCAATTACTGTGTTTGCTGGAGCGGTTCACAGAACTCAGAAAAACCGTGACTTATGTTCACCAGTTTGTTACAAAGGAGACAGTAAGGGATACAGACGAACAACCAGATGGAGCGGTGCATGTGGTGAGGTCTGGAGGGTCCCAAGTGCAGGACTTCTGTCCCCGTGAAACTAGGGTCTGCCCCTCATGTGCTCCCCAGCGCGGAAGCTCTCTGAACCCTGTGCTTTTGGGTTTTTATGGAGGCTTCATTACATAGGCATGATCAGTCACATCACTGGCCCTTTGTGATGGATCCCAGACCCCTTCTTCTCCTGAATGGGGCAGGGAGTGGGGTTGAGGGTTTTAACCCTCTCGTCAGGGGGTTCGTTTCCCTCCGTCCTCACGTGCTTCCACAAGTCCCCTCATCAGCCATTAAAGTAAATTCAGGTGTGGTTGAAAGGGGCTTGTTTTGAACAACAAAAGATACCTTTCTGCTCTTACCACTTAGGAAATTCCAAGGATCTTAGGAGCTATGTGCCAGGAACTGGACGAAGACCAAGTATATGTTTCTTAATATGAAACATGATACCACAAAATTATTCCTCTGTCTCTTGGGTTCCTGTTTTCTTTTCCAATTTTTTTATTGTGGTGAAATAGACTTACCATAAAATTTATTATCATTACTTGTTTTGAGGGTACAGTTCAGTGCCATTGAATGTATTCATGGTTCTGGACTGCCATCCCCACCATCCGCCTCCATCTTACCCATTAACCACTGACTCCCGTTCCCCCACCATCCCTTGCGTCTGTCTTTCTCCCTTCTGTCTTCTTAGGTTTCTGACTGTAAGATTATTGAACATTTCTGTGCTCGCTTTTCTTTTTTATAAATATATCCACATTGCGAGGTTGTTAGGAGAATCAAGTGTCTGTCATTGCATGTGAGAGCTCAGTGTCTTGCACTTAATAAGCGCTCAGGGTCCCTAGCATGTACTAGGCACTGTCCACCCCTCACTGTTGTGCTGACACTGGTGTGTGATCTTTACAGCTCATGTGATGGCAGCTGTACTTCATCTGATAGAAAACGATGGGAAACCTGTTGTGTTGGCGCTTACGTGTACACGTGATAGATTGTTGACTCAGCTCGTGGTCTTCCCTCTGGTACTTGTGTGTAGGTGCACTGTAAATATTTGTTGAGTTGAATTGAAATTCAATTTGGCAGGATTTATCAAAAGTCTATATAAATCAGTGAGCAGGGTTACTGATAACTGTGATCACCTAGAAGTGGAATCATGTTACAGACTTGGTGCGGCCTTTGTTAATCTAAGTGCTCACTGTTAACTCTCGTACAAGCCAGATATCTACAAAAGCATGGTTTATTTCATATGTTCATGAGATGGGAGGGCAGTGTTATATAGCCTCTGGCTTGACAGGAATCCACGTGAACAAATAATCTTCAGGAAACAGAGACGTGGGTTTAACTGTTACCACCAGGGGAACACGTTAGTAAGCAAGAAGCCAATTAAAATTGGGAGGTGAAAGGCTGCTTGTGTAGGACGTAGCAAGTCTCCAACATGTGGGTGCCTTACAAGACTCTCTGTTTGTAAGTAACATTTTCACGGACAGATTTTTGGTGCCACGTACTGTTGTTTGTTGGCAACTTCTGGGGAAGAAATAATGGCTTCAGTTAATCTTGCTGAGGTTCTCCCCGCTCTCACCCCCCGCCTTCATACCAGCAGTGAGGACGTGCAGTCACGGCCGAAGCCCTGGAATTCAGCTTGCCAGCAGCAGGAGAAAGCACCCAAGCCTGAGACCCACAGAGCTTATAACATGGAAATTAAAAAGGGCGGGTTATGGCTGTTTGACATACGTGATCAGCAAACACAGAGTCTCTCATTCTGTTTATGCACCGCTTAGATTTCACCCTTCGTGAGAGCCTGTCTCTCTTGTTCGGGTCATTTTTCTGCTGCGACTTGTCGAGCGAGAAAGGTGGTGATCCTTTTCTAAGGCTTTAACTTTGAAACAGTTTATGAACTTTTACTGCATCATGTGAACTATTGTTTTCACATCACTACAATATCCTGTACTGTTTCTCCCTTTCTAGTCCCTAAATTCTCAGTGCCATCAGCCAAGATTAACGGGGCCTAGTGCTCAATCCAGCACACCCTGGAAACATACTCCTGGACAGGTCTGACCCATTGGGGACATGGGTGCCATCCACTGGCACATTCTGTGGGGGTGAGGCTGGTTTCTGTCTGCATGGCCAGCATCACAGCCGCAGCCACAGGTGGTGGGTGATTGCTCACAGTGCAGCCGAGGAGCGGAATCTAACATTTTATGTATTTTAAATGTTAATCCAGACGGCGATGTCTAGTAATGACAGCAGTGCTGGAAAGCACAGCCCAGGGAGTCCAGAGTCGCCGTGGAGTCCGCATGCGTGGCTCAGTCATGTTCGCAGTCACGTGGGGGAAGGGCAGCTCACACTGAAACGGTCGATGACTCATCTGAGGGCGAGGCTACACCTTCAAGCACCCGTTTTGTTCCATGATGAGGAAGGGGGATGCACCTGTTGAGAAGGGACACTCTCACACGGCTGCTCTGCACTGTCTGTGAGGCACACGGTCACTTCCACGCCATGTTCTCATGCAGTGGTTCTGCGACTCTGGCTGCAGGCAGTTGCCTGGGGACGTTGTGAACCCACCACTCTTTCTGCTGCAGTCATTCTGAGCTGGGGCCTGGGATTGCATGTTTATAAGTTCCTGGTGGTGCTGATTCTGCTGGTGGGAGATGGAGAACTGCCCATTGGGGGTCCAGGTTGGAAAGGCAACCCTGTCAGCTCAGGGCTTCTTGCCTGTTGGAGCTTTTGGTCCACAGCCACTGGGGGCCTCAGTTCTCCTGAAAAACGGAACATTCACTCACCTTTCTCTTCCTCACCCAGGAAAAGGAAAAGCAGGCTTACAGTGAGATCTTTGTTGCTAACGTAGTTTTACATTTAAAAGGAAAAAATGTAGTGAGTAGGCAGAGAAAATTGCTTGCAACAAATACTAGTGATTTCTACTTCTCAAAGTATGTTTATAAACGCTGGAAAATACGTAGCAGAGTGGTTTAGTAATAGTAAAAAGAGATCACTTGCAAGTTGTGTAGAATATTCAAATGTTCAACATGTTTACAGTTACACATTGGTAAGATTGGAGAGGCTAAGGAGATTAAGAGTAAAGTTGAACTGACTGAAAGGTGGATCTGAGGACAGGGTAGGAGGTGATTCTTGAGCAGTTTTGAGGTAAATGAGAGGGACGGATACCCGTGGTTCCCGGTGCAGGCGGTGTCGGTGAGTCTCGGAGACGTGGACCAGGCGGCAGGGCAGGGCCTGTGTGGTGCATTTGGTTCTCTCCAGGAGACAGCGTGTCCAGAGAAATGAGAAAGATAAGTTGATAAGTGGAAAAGAATATGAAAAGGAATCTATGTACATATATGTATAACTGAGACACAATGCTGGACATGGGAAGTTGGCACAATGTTGTAAACTGACTAGACTTCAATAAAAAAAAGAACGAGGTAAGTCAGTAAGGTTGGGAGGAAGTTAGCGTGGGAGGAATTTAACAGTGGGCCACTTGGGCTTTAGTGCAGTTCATTTGGCAGCATAATGATGAGTGAAAAGGAAAAAGGTATTCTGATTAATGACTAGGTTTTTTTGATTTGGAGATTTAACATCTTTTCTAACTTTTTTTGTCCTCTTTCAATTTAAGCTTATTGCAGAAGAATTTTGTCTAAAAACATTTTCCAAGTTTGGAGCACAGCCTATACCAGGTAAGTAAAATTTAATGTGACTCCTTTCACCTGTTTGTGATAATCAATGTACTAATAATGCTAGAGGTGTTTGTGGATGTGCCGAGTGGGGATAGTTGCAGGATAAATCTAATCCAGAGGAAATGTGTCTTTAAGCTTTTTCTGATCTACAGCAGTACAAAACACTTCCAATTAATAACAGAATTTCCACTTATTGTCTACCTTATTTAAATGAATTCTATTTTGAAATCTTCTGTCTTACTCAAATGTTCAACTGATATTCTGAGAACATTGTTATAGAATGTTATAAAATGCCCTGGTTAATTGCAAATCTTTATGTAAAATAATTTTCTTTGAGAAATACGTAATATTCTAAAATATTTTTAGAGTAGATCATTGTGAAGTTAGGCCGCCTTAGCAAGGATAGACTTTCTTACAACTATGGCCAGCAGTAAACAGAATATCTGTGTGATTGCGTGTGTGGTTATATACTGTGTGCATGTGCGTAAGTACCTTTCTGTGAGAGAGAAGTTATTTTTTCCTACATGGAACGATTTCAGAGTGGATTTAAAATGAGTGGCAGTTAAGATGTGAAGATCGTGTTGTTTGTCACACATCATGCTTTGCGTGTCCTACTCCATTTTGAGTATGAACATTAATAAAAATAAATGCTGTGTCATAAAACCGAGTCCACATGAGCTGGGAGTGCGTTGGCCGTGCCTTCTGTCTCCTCTAAAGACCCCTGGACTCACCCTCCCTGCGTGAGGAGGTCAGGCGTGGGGGATCAGCTCGCCCTAACCGGGATTCACCAGACAGACCTGCAGCGGGTTTTCATCCAAGGACTCCTTGTCACAAAGACCGGGAGGACCCGGTGTCAGCACTGTCTTCCCACGCCGGGGAGCTGCTGTGTAGTGGGGGGCGCGGGGTGGACACCGGAATGACACTGCTCAGGCCTGTGGCACGCGTGGGCTCCGACCCTCTCTGCTAACCAGCTTCCCTGCGGGCAGCCGGGCCTCTGAGCCTGGGAGATGCCCGGAAGTCCAATGAGTCATTCTCCCTCTTTCTGGCAAGTGCGAGGGGCTGTGGACGGGTCTCCTGGGACTTTCACGTCTGCGCTTCTGTGCCGCCTGCCCAGTTCTGCACACCTGCTGTGCCTGTGGCCAGGTTACCACATTGTGAGTGTGCATCCAGCCTCCAGTTTGAACTTACAGTTGAATTCTCGAAGGGAATTCTTTTCCTCACATTTCCTAGTTCCTGTCGGGATACAGTTGGAGTATATGTTTGAAAAAAGTTACTTTAACACCCTGTGTCTCATTTTCCATGCACGTTAGTTACGACTCTGTAAGCTAATACCATTTTTATTTTAATAAGAGTCTACTAAGTTACGTGAACAATATGTGTTCATTATAAAAATTACAGAGAAGACGATGAAAATTACCCTCATCTCAACACACACTGTTGTACTTGGTGTATTTTTTTCTGTGATGAGATACATAATGATTGAAAATTGGGTTGTGTTATAAACAAAGGTTTGTGTCTTGTAATTCACAGTATTGTGTGTGGACCATTTTCTCATACACTTAGATACTCTTTGAAGGCCTGAGTTTAATGGTGGTAGTACTTCCTTGTGAACTCCCAGTTACATTTTTCTCCCTTCCCCTCTGGAAGAGGAAGCGTGCTTGTTGGTGGACATGGATGAGGTGGACCTAGCCCCTGACACAGCCCCGAGCTGGAGCTGGCGGACGCGGAGGGCTGGGCTGCGGGCGGGCGGGCGGACATGGGGCTGAGTGCAGGGCAGGGTTAGGGAGGAAGGGGAGGAAGGGGCTTCGGGAGGGCTGGTGCAGCGAGACTCTTTGACCTCCTTCAGTGTCTGAGGGACGTAACGTGTAGATTTCTTTTCCATTGCTTAGTCTAAGTGTTTTTCTTGAATTTGTCATTGTCTAGGACTGAACCTTGTCTAGGCTTCAGTGAGAGCTTACCTCATGATGCTGCAGCCTTTGTCCTTGTGCACATTTTTGTGTTTCTCCAATTATTTCTTTAACATCCATTCATAAGCGCTGTTCCTCAGGTAGATTGTTCTCCAGAAGGTCTGAGCGGTTCACGTCCCCACCAGCAGTGTCTAACTGTCCTCATCTCGGGGACCCTCAGCTACAGTGATGCTTTTCCTTGTTCTTCAGTAGGTCTGAGGTCCAGGCATCACTCAGGCTGTGTATGAAGACAGTGTTAAAGTGCTCGTGGTGATGGAATTAATGTGGAACAGTTGCTCCTGAAGTTTATGTTCTGATTTTGAAAGTAATTTCTAAGACATTGAATGTCCTTCTTAAACATTATTTTCCTCAGGTTGATTGAGATATAAACCACGTCCCATTCAGTTCACACAGTTGAAGTCTGCAGTTCAGTGTTTTCAGTGTATTCGCACATCTGTGCAGCCATCACTGCAGTCAGTTTTCAGGAGGTGCTTTTTTATATGAGAAATGTCAGCATCTTGGAGGAGGACAGCTTTGTTTCTTTCCCAAAGTGGCTCTAGTGTAAAACGGTCACAGTGACGGCATCTGTGTGTTGAGGAGTGAGAACGGAATTTAACGAAAAGTCTCAGATTAAATGTTGTCAGTGAGTGTGAACATGAAAAAGTGCTATTTCAAAAAGAGTTTTTAAATGAAAGATTTAATATCTAGAACTCTGAAAACAACTCCTTGTAACTTTTCATGTAGCGAAGAGACCAGCTTCAGGACAGAGCTTGGCTTCTGTTGTGTCTGCTCAGAAAATTACAAAGCCTGCTGCTAAATACGGAGTGCCCTTAACGTACAAGAAATACGGAGACAAAAAGTTACATGAGAAGAAACCTCTCCAAAGACATAAACAGGTATGGTGATCATGTCACAGTCTGTGTATTAGTAACACATTCCATTTGGCCTTATTTTATTGCAGCTCAATTCAGGTAATCTTGATACTCACAGGCTTGGTTTTATTACGTTAGTAAAGAACATTGCTGTTCTCTGCTTTACCAGTCTTCTAAAACGTAGGAGAGTGACAGAAGTCATAAAGAAATGTTAAGTAGATACGTTAAGTGAAGTAGTTGGTGCTCAAATTATATAATATATTTATTAAAATAAATTAGTGGCATTTCCTGAAGAGGAAATTATGTTTGTATTATAAATCATGTTGTTTTCTAAAGTAACCAGAGGGGAGAGGTACAGCTCAGTGGTAGACCGCACGCTTAGCATGCACAAGGTCCTGGGTTCAATCCCTAGCACCTCCTTTAAAAAAGAAAATTTTTTTTAATTGAGTAAGAAGAAGCTTTAAATATCTTTTTGAATTTTTTTAGTGAAATGAAATGTTTGGTGCCTTTCTAGTTCTTTCTTGTGTGTTGCGAGGTATGTAATATCTTAACAGTGATATATTTCTGAAATTAATTTTATTAATTTCATATTATTGAGGGCCATATTTATTTTGTAATATTCTGAGTTCACTTTTAGAAGTTTAGTGCTTACCTGTTACAGTCATTTTATAAAATTTAGGAAACTGAAGCAATGAGTGGTATATGACAATAATTTCGTAACACTGACATTTGCCAAAATACAGCAGGTATGAAATGGAATTGCTAATGGAGATGGTTTAGTGATTTAATCAAATTCTGAGTTGTTTTAATAATAATGTAAATGACCTTTGAAATTTTTTAAAGTAGTTGTCCTTTGTATTGAAACCTGAGATAGGTAAATAATTTTGTATGGTGTTTCTTTTTATATTCATTTTTTTCTAAAGTAGCTGAAAAATTTAAAACTTGTCCATGATACAAACTTAAGAATTTCCTATACTTCTAATCTTTTAAATACTTTTAATCTTTTTTGGTATATAGAATTGCATTTTCAGTTGTTTGAAAAATTAATCATATAGTCATATAGTAGGCTTAACATTGATCATAAAATTGAGTGGTTAGTACAGGATAAAAAAAGAAAACCTTGGGTCACTTACACTTTTGAGCACACATGCATAAATCCTAAAGAACGATTTTTCAAAAAAAACAAATCAAATCAAGCAATTTATCAAAAGAATAATTTTAAAATTATCAAATGGGATACGTATCAGGAATGCAGGGATGGTTCAACAGTAGGAAACTGGTGAATTTTACTGCATTAGCAGATTAGAAGGGAAAATCATATAAATGATCTCAGTAGATACTGAAGTTCAATCAAATTTAACATTTAAAAAAAAACTCCTTTGTATACATTAAACATGTACAACTTTTTGTTATGTCCATCATACCTCAATAAAGTGGTTTCAGGTAACCCCAAATTTCTTTGATTCACAAAGTAAATGGGAAAGTTCTTAACTTGACAGTTATATATACCAGAAACGCATGTCAGGTGTTTTACATAATGATGAAAAATTCGAAGCATTTACATTAAAGAACAAGACAAGAATGTTTGCAATGATTGCTACTATTTAACATTATTCCAGAATCCTCGCTAGTGTAATTAAAATGAGAAAAAAACAAGAAACATAAATATTGGGAGAGGAGAGAAAACAGACGTTTACAGAGGATACAGTTACCAACCTGGCAGCTCCCAGTGAAGCAGCAGGAGCTGTTCTTGAACTCTGGTCAGTGGCCTCGTAGAAGTTGATTGTGCAGAAGATGCATAATCAGAACAGGAAATGGAGAGACATTGTGACAAAATCCCTCAAATAGTTTAGAATAGGTGCACTGAGCAAAGGGCAAGGTGACTGCAAGAATGGAATATTACATAAGAATGAAGAAGAAGATGCAGACATGAGTAAACACACAGATGAATTCTGAAAACATTGTTGAGCCACAGAAGCGAGATGCAGAGGAATGTGTACTGTGTGATTCCATTCATGTAAACTCAGAACAGAAAACTCCTAAGCTGTATTGTTTAAGAAGGTGTGTATCGGTGGCAAAATAATGCAGGAAAGCAAGACGGTAGTTACGAGAGTCGGGGTGGTGGGCGTCTGTGGGTGAGGTGGGACTTCTGGAGGCCGTGGAGGAGTCCAGGAGCTGGCAGTGCTCTGTCCTTCACTTGGGTGTAGCTGCAGGGGGGTTTCTTTGGTTTCTGCTGACCTCTGTGTATGTCCTTCATCTGCTTTTCTGTAGGTGACTTTATATCACAGTAAAGAAAAGAAAAGAGGGGTTGGATAAATGCAGCAGAATAGAGCATTCCAGGAACTGACCCGTGTGTGTGTGTGTGTGTGTGTGAGAATTTATTATATGTAAAAAGATGTATTGGCAAATAGTTACGAGATAACTGGATTTTCTAGGGAAAAAAATTAGATTCTTGACTCATTCCATGAACAAAATTGTTCCAGATCTAAAAATCAAAATCTAACTGTAAACATTTTAAAATCTAAATATAAAAGTGAAATTGTCTCGATAGCAGAAACAGATATAATGAGGTGTAGAGTATCTTCCGTAGTAGAACAGTTTATGCAGATATTGTAAAGGGAAAGATGGGCAACTTTTTATGTATGTAAATTACAGAACACTATGCAATGAAAGATACGACAAGCAGCAATTCAGAGACAGAATGGGAGGAATTTTTGCAATATTTATAATAGTCTTATTTTCCATAATTTACAAAGAGTTCCTAAAATTAACCCCCAGATTAGATGAACAGTAAATTTGTGAGACTGTGGGGAAATGAGTTCTTTGGTGGGGGTGTACATTGATGCAGCCTCTTGAGTTGGCAGTTTTTCTCAACATTTAAATTACGTTTTTACTTTGTAATTAGAAAAAGCTGAAAAAGCTGCCATGCTGAAAGCCTTGAATATGTACTGCACAAAGACACATGTATGAGGAAGTTCGTGACCGTATTGTGTAGGGAACAGTTGGAACCAGTGCATCTGTCCCTAGAGTAGTGGTTAAAGAAGCTGGTCATATCCCTGGCTTGGAGCACGGCCGTTGTCGGCTTGCTTCTTAGCACAGCGTGGGAATGTCCAGGAGCATTGTTAATAGTGAAAAGCATTGTTCCCTCTAATAACACGTTGTTTATTGTATTTATGTAAAAAGCATAAAATACTAAGATTCTATACATATATGTATGTATGTAGATATGTATGTATTTAAGTGCATAAAGTAATGCCTGGAAGGATTCTCATGAAAATACTAACAATGGTTATGTCTGGAGGTGGGGAGAGAAACTAACAACTCTTGTTTGAATTTTATATTGTGAGCATATATTGTGTAATTTCTTTTTATTTCAAGAAGAATTTCTCTCTTTAGTGTTGGGCTTTCAAAATGGCGCTCTGTTCCTGTAATGTCAGAGAACTTGCAGTTACCGTCTCTGTCTGAGCTCGCACTCCCTGCTTGATGACGGGGAGAACCGTTCCCGCGGTCTCTTTGACTCTCATGTTTCTCTTCATTTAACAAATAGTGTGCCAAACACTAATGTGGTTCTTTATTTTTAGGGATAATATATTTTGAAAGAGAGTAATGGTAGTATTGGCTTTACCTTTTTCTTATTTTAAATTTCCATAAATTTGAGTTTTTCAAAGGGGTGACTCAAAATCCTTGCCTAATTCATAGTTTTACTTTTCGTCCAGACCCATCAAACTCCAGTGAAGAAAATGAATCCTGGAGAAGAAAGGAGGAAAATGTTTGAGGTATAAAGACATCTGTCTGCTTATTGTAAAGCTTTGTTGAAATAATTATTAAAAAAGAAACGGAATCTTAGAAAACCTGCAAACCTTTCCTCCTTATTTCTTTCAGACAAATACCTCTAGCTTATTTCTGTTTTTAACCTCCCAGGGCACACCTCGACCGTCGGTGTACTAACTTTACTGATGAAACTAGAAAAAGTAGTATTTATTGTTGATGAAAGTGTTCTTTTTTTGTTTAAGGAAGCACCAAGAAAGAGAAGATCGGAATTGACTGAAAAAGAGAAGAAACACAAGGATCAGGTAGTTTTTTGCTCTTACTTTCCTCCCCTTGGCACGCTGTGGGTGTTAAGAGGCTCATGAGTTCTGAGAAGTCTGTCTTCACAATCGTTCCAGATCAGCTTCCTGAAGGCCGAGCAGCTGAGAAGGCAGGAGAAGGACAGGGTAAGGGGCGCCTGGCCTCCCCGCCCGTGTCCTGGGTCAGCAGAAGGTTTCTGTGTTCCTGGTAAATGTATTTCATGTGTTTTCTATCAAATATTTGAAGTGATGTTTTGTTTCTTTCTTTCTTTCCTCCAAAGCTGGAGAAGATAAATCGGGCCAGGGAGCAGGGCTGGAGAGACGTGCTGAGCGCTGGTGGAGGCGGCGAGGTCAAGGTAGGCCCTTGACACCGTTTCTCCAGGGTTGCCCCGCTCTGTACAATGTGTGCAGCTGGCTTTCTTGGGGTACATTCACTTCACTTAGAGTTCTCCCCATCTGCTGTGAATTCCTAGTTTTCCTGTGTGTATTTGGTCCATAACTTGTACTGATAATAATGTGTGAAACTGAAAGTTGCTGAGAAAGTTGGCTGTGACAGACCGTCCTGCCGGAGGAATCTTGTTAACATCAAATACAGTTTGTCCAGGCAGTGTTCCTTGGGCAGGTTACTTGACTTTTCTGAGCCTTAATGTCTTCATTAAAGAGAAAGAAAAATGTCAAGAGCAGTGGCAGGAGCGAGGAGGCAGGGCCCCTCCGCAGCCTCCTCCCCTCTCCTCGCGCTTTGCTGTGAGTGGCGGAGTGTACTGCTTGGGACTGCTGATGCTTACGTACAGTAAGAACATTTTCCTTTAGGCTACGTGGGTATTAGCATGTCAAATCAGGTGGCTGCCTTCTAGAAGTCAGGTGTTGAGATGCACTTTTTCCTCCCGAGGGTGGTGTGAACCTCTGGCCTTATGAGACAAGCACGTGAGTCCTCTTTGTTTAATTCCTAGGCTCCCTTTTTTGGCAGTGGAGGGGCTGTGGCTCCAGCATCTTTTTCTTCTCGAGGACAGTACAAGCATTATCACGCTATTTTCGATCAGATGCAGCAGCAAAGAGCAGAAGACCGCGAGGTGAAGTGGAAAGGAAACATCCCCGGCCGAAGACCTTTGGAAAGGTATGCTGGCAGTGGCCTGTGCGTTGCCTTAGAGAAAGGAATGGACATCAGGGGCGTGTTCACCCGCAGAGGAGGCCCCCGGGTGCATCCGGGACTTCCGAGGAGCCGCAGGCCAGCTCCTCTGGTGCCAAAGCTGTTACAAAACCATTGAAAAGATGGAGAGCCCTGTCTGTACAGGATAGTGCAGCCAGGTTGGATGGGGGTGGTCCTGCGTGTGGTTTTGTCTTGTCACGTTCGGCTTAACACCTACGCCCTGTGTGTCTCCCCCGTCGGCATGTTGGTCCGGGGGGCTCTCTGCCCGCGGGCTGTGGCCGTTGTCTCCTGTGTGGGTTTGGCCCTTGATTCCCCGCAGCACACATGGAGCTCTTCACTTCAGCCTAACTTTGTAGCTAGTAGATGCTGTAGGCTGTCTAACATACTGTTGAAGGAACATGCGATAACTCTGAACCAACATGTGGTGGTGATGACTTAGCCACTTGCTTGAAATCAGTCCAGACGGAACTACACTCTGTGCAGAACCTTGACAGGACCGTGTCCTCTCCTCCTCACCGTCCTCTGTCGTCTGCGCTTCTCCTTCTCACTGATGGCTCCGTGTCAGCCTGCTCCTCAGCTTTTCCCTTTTCTTCCATTAAATTAATTTAATATGGTAGTGGTCAATATTTAATTTGCATAGTTCCTTTTTTAAAGTATACATGTGTTTTTTTAATTATTTATTTGTTTGTTTGTTTGTTTACTTATTTATGTATGTGTTTATGTATTTAATGGAGGTGCTGGGGAATGAACCCAGGACCTCATGCACTGAGCTCTACCTTCCTCCCCTCATATGTCTTTTTTTAGATCTTGCATTTCTTCCACAAAAACATTCCTGTTAAAGAGGAGCAGAAATCATTTTGTGAAAATTTAATTTGTCATTTTGAGAGAATATTTTTGAGTGTAGTAAAAATCTTTATGCTCCCCCGAATTGTAAAAAAACTATTGAAAGCTAGTTGAGCAGAGGTGAGCAGTGGAGGTGAAGATAAATAGACAATATGAATTATGTACGGTAGCCTCAGGTGTTGAGCTGAATGCAGACACTTCCCATTTTTGAGGAGAGAGGGCTGCGCACTCACTCGTCAGTGTGTATTTGATGAAACAGCAAAGCAGACCTTGTGCGGGGTTTTAGGCTCTGGTGTTACTGGTCTTTGCAGCGTATGCTCTGTGTGGCTTTATTTTGTTTTAGATCTCCCACAATAAGTGTGTACAGTATGCAGAAAGTAGGGAAAACTGTGTTGTGCGTCTTCACCCGGTCCATCTTCCAGGGTGTTATCTTGCCGCAGTGACAGCAGGGGGTGAGACTGGGCCACGGCAGCAAACTCCTCAGTGACTGTGAAGGGTTTGCATCCATCCGTCCTTGACTTGCGAGTTGTCTCACACAGCTGTGCAACTTGGCTGCTGCTTCCTCTGTAGCACTGCTTCCGTCCTGTCTATGTCTAAGCCTCAGACACGGTGTCACTGTTTTAATTTTCAGCTTTTAAACCATGTGTGGCTGTGAGATCATGTGTCATTTCATTTCTGCCAACCCTCTTGATCAGCAGTGCTCGAGCATATAGTATGCATTTTTTTTCTTTCTTTCTCTTTATTGACAAGTCAGTTTACAGTGTTGCGTCAGTTTCTGGTGTACAGCACGATGCCTCAGTCACACATGAGCATACATGTGTTCGTTTTCACATTCTCTTTCACCATAAGTTACTGTAAGATACTGAATCCAGTTCCATGTGCTGTACAGCGCAAGCTTGTTTATCTAATCCTGGCAGAGGAGTCATGACGTCCCCAGCAGCCTTCTTTTCTCTCCCAAGTTACAGAAAAGGTTTTACTTCGGATCAGCCATTCTTCATATTCTGCAAATACCTCTAAGGAAAATATTTAGATTAAGTAATTTTTAAGTTTTTGAAATATTTAATTCCAAGTTTCTGACCTTGCTGTGTGTCTCACTCCTCAGGCCAAGGGGGCCGCCGGCCGCGGAGCGAGCCAGACAAGTGGAGGAGTTCCTGCAGCGGCGGCGGGAGGCCCGGCAGAACAAGGCGCGGGCCGAGGGCCACCTGGTAGGCGCCACGTCCGGGACATTGCGCGCGGTAGCTCAGGGGAGGTCTAGCGTGAGGTAGGTACGGCGGCGGGCGTGCGCCTGTCTGTGCAGGCTGTTCCTCTGAGCGTTTGCCGAGTGCTTCGCTCTCCTCTGCGACGCCTTTTCTGCCGAGGGCGAGGTTCTGTTGTTGCTCTGGTAACTTGGGCATAGGTTCACAGCTGTGTCCTTCCTTTAAAAGGAGCGAGCAGGCATGGCAACCCAGATACTTATACTAAGCTAATAAGTTCTTACATTGCGTCCCACGCCAATATGCTTTTGGTTTTAAATAATTTTAAGTAGCAAAGAATTGTAGAACAAAACGAGAAATAAACATTTGAATAAATACACGTGTAACTATGCATTTGCTCAAAAGAAAATTAGAAACAAAATATTTCACAGCCTCTGATTACGCCAGTTAACTGAGTTAAGTCGTGTATCCAAGGCAGTGTTAGCAGTTGTTAGGTGATCATTTCAGTAATAGTTTTGACTTTCAGAGGCATAGAAGCGCCCTTTGACCTTTGGTCCACAGAACGGCAGGTGAGTGTTTCTGTCGGCGCAGCGCCCCATGTGGCATCACATTCACATGGGAAATAGGTCGTTATGTGGCCATATACTTTATTTAGACTTACGCCTGCTGTGAGTTCACAAGTGACATCTTTGAGTTAATTAGTGTAATTACTCATATTTAGGGTATTGTTTTCTTTCAAATAATACCATAGAAAAATAGTTAGACTTTTAGTGGTTACCCTTTGTATTTTTAACACCCATCAGTTGTGTTTCTCATATCTGGAGTTAGTCTGGGTCTGTATCCTCCATGTAGATGGAAGAGAACCTTTCCCCTGCCCCATTTCTCCCGTGTTAATCACATCTGGAATTGTAGTTACAGGTTTTAATTTAAAATATTTTACAACAGTTATTAGACTCCCCAAGACGTGCTGACTTCTTTCCTCGGCACTGTTCCTTGTGCCCAGCTGCCCCTCTCAGTTTGTGTCTTCATGCTGCACACTGTCCCCTGTGATCCTTTTGGAGGGAAACTGTCCCAGATTTGTCGGCAAATGTCCTTATTCTGTTCACATTAAATTAAATGTTCACGTTCACACTAAATGTTCATTTGTGGTGGTGGGTCTGCTGAGGAACTTGCTTTAGCATTTGTATGTCTGAAAAAGCATTTTGCCCTCTTTTTTGAAAAATATTTTTGCTGGAGGTAGCATTACAGGTTGAAAGTATTTCTTTCTGTACTTTAGAGACGCTCCTCCTCTTGCGTCCTGGCCTGCCTGACCTGGCAAGACATCTGCTTTCTTGTTCCAGTTTTCCTCCCGTGTGGCGTGTCTTCTCCCTGACAGCACATGGCGTTTCTTCTGCGTCGCTGAGAGTGATTTGATTACGACGCAGCGTGGTGTAGTTTTCTCCGTGTTTGTTTTGTTGGGGGTTCATCGAGCTTCTTGGACCTTCTTCAGATTTAGGGAAATTCTGCCGTTCTATCTTCAGAATTACGTTTCTGTGCCCCCGTGTCCCTGTGGGACGCTCGGTACCCATGCGCCAGCTCGCTGGCGCTGCACTCCTTCCTTTGGGCCCTTCTCCTGTGCTTCATGTTGGGCGGCTTCTGTCGCTGCGTCCTCAGGTCCGCGAGTCTCCTTGTCCGCTGCGTCTGGCCTCCCTGCTGCCGACCCTGGGCAGACGTTTCATGGTGTAGCTTTCATCTCTCACCGTCATCCCTCAGCTTTCCATGTCTGTCTCTGTGATACTCACGCTTTTCGCTGCCTTCTTGAACGTGTGGAATATGACTATAGTAGTCTTTTTAATGACCTTGTCTGCTAATTCTGTCACCTTTGTCATTTCTGAGTCTGTTGATTATTTTTTCTGCTCATCAAGGTCGTCTCTTCCTGCTTCTTGACCCACCTGGTCACTTGGATGACAAACATTGTGTATTTTATCTTGGATTCTTGTTTTTATTTAAATATGTTGGGGCTTTATTCTGGGATGTAGTTAATGTTACTTGAAAACAGTTTGAGTCTTTGAAGGCTTGCTTCTCAGCCTGGCGAGGCACGTTCAGAGCAGTCTTTAGTCTAGTGCTTGCTTGGCCCCAGCGCTGTGCGGTCCTCTCGCTGCTCCGGTGGCGTTGGCGGTACCCAGCGCTCTGCTGATTCGGAGGCCTCTCCCCTCTGGCTGTTGGCAGCGTGACACTTTCCCAGGGAGCCCGAGGGGTCGGTGCACCCGCAGGGGCTCAGGAAACCTGTGCAGCTCTCCAGTGCTCTCCCTCTGCTTTGATCCCCTGCCCTCACACCTTAGTGCCCCTCAGCTTCCCAAGCGCTGAGTGTTCCTCTCTTAACTCGGGGCTCCACTGGGCTCCGTGCCGGGACCCCAGAGCTACAGCCTGGAGCCGGGGCGGGCGGTCAGATGGGCAGTTCCTACACTCAGCTCCCTTCTCACCCTTCTGGCAAGGGTCACTGTCACATGCTGCCCGTTTTCCAGTGTTTGAAATCATCGTTTGATCTGTTTTGCCCAGACTCCAGTTGTTGAGGGCGGGAGGATAGACCCGGTCCCTGCACTGCCTGGGGCTGCGGTGGGAGCCCTGTGTGGTGATTTGCTGGGTGAGGGAATCCAAGTCAGAGGCTCTCCCCACCCCATTGTCTTCGTCTCCTTGTTGCTCAGGAGCCTTGAGACCACGCTCTGCTTCCTGCTCCTCTGGGAGGGCGTCCCTCTCTGCACACTTTCTTCACCACTGTTTTTCTAACTCGATACTTTGAAATACTCCTTGCCTATTTCTCGGTGTTTTTTCCTGCTGACCTGACTCAGGCTCTGACCAGATGCTTTGGCCTGAGCCCCATCTGAGCTCCAGAGCGTGCTCAGTGAGCGCCGCTGCAGTGCACGCTGCTCCTCTCCTCCCAAGGGACTGCTGCTAAGCGGGCAGGTTGGGACTTCTAAGCCAGCTGTCCTTTCTCCCTTCCACTACCTCGGAAGGACCCTGAAGCCCGAATTTCACCCACTAACATATTCTTTAGTTTTTATTCAGCCCACACAGTGAGTTTCTCTTACTTTAGAAACTTGCATTTTCTTGTCCATGGATCTAGTTAGTTTTCCTTGCCCGTGTGCTCATTGCTCTGACGCTGCGCTTACTGTAAAGGCTTGTTCTTGGTGCGCTGTTGGCTGTGTCACCTCGGTGGCTTCAGTTTTCTGTCTGTTACCTGTTTGATGGTCCTGGCATTCCTCGAGTGTTTGGTGTTCTTGCGGTGTATTCATGCTTGGGGGTGTCTTTTGCTCTTTATTGGCTCTGAGTGGCCCACTGGCAAAATCGGGACATGCTGTTGACCTGGCCTCAGCTCAGTTTTCCGTCAGAGGAGAGGATGGAGGGACCCATTGCTGTCCTGCTGGCAGACCCCTGGGCTTAGGAGACCCTAATCCTTCCTGGGTGTTGGCGTCACCCTGGGCCGTGGCCGGGCCTTCACTCCAGACTCTCGTCACTTGTGTCTGAAGGCGGCTGGCCTGTGGAAGCGGGCAGAGTGCTGGGTGACTGTGAGCACCGACGCTGCCCTTCCCCGCGCCTCCCGTTCTCACAGCCTCTGCGGGGCCTCTTCCCGACAGGCCAGGCTCATGGCATTTCTCATGGCATTTCTCTGTACTTTCCTCACCTCTGGGTTCCTTCTGTTTGGGGAGCTCCCACAAGTGCTGCTTGTCATCGAGTGCTGATATCTTCCCCTGAATATAGCAACTTCTCATCTAGAATTTCGCACAAAGAGAGGCTGTGGCGTCGCTCTGCCATCTTGCAATCTGAAGTTAGTATTTTCGTTTTGCTGTGTTATCCTTCCCTGCTCTTCCCCTCCAAATGCAGTTAAATACTCTGGAAATTACATCTTCTGTGTATCAGGGGCTGGGTGTTGGACATGCCTGCAACTCAGATCTCCGTAGACTTAGAAAAATCAGAAAAGCAAAGCCTCTCACTTGCAGTAGACTGGGGAAGAAGGATCCCAGGTTCTGCTCCAGTGGGGCCTGGGGAGGGGCTGAAGCTTCCGGCAGCAGGGAAGCCTCAGGCTGTCCCCGCCCCATCCTGCAGCTGGGAAAGGAAGGCCCTGTGCTGCTCCAGCAGGGCTGGTGAGGGGCTGAAGCTTCGGGCAGTAGTGAAACCTCAGGCTGTCCTAGCCCCATTGTGCAGCTGGAGCACGGACAGGTGACTTGGAGGGCAGTCTGATGCATCAGTGCAGCAAAGCCCTGGACTGTCCCATCTGCTCAGCCACTGGGGCACAAGCACATGGTCCATCTGCCTAGAGCGGCAGTCATCACAGAGCTGTGCGCCCACTCTCTCCACCTGATGACACGGAGACCAGGCCCACTGGCGTCTGCCCTCCACCCTTAGGAGATCTGCCGGTAGCATCAGGTGGCCCAGGGAAGCGACTTCGTCCTCACAGGGTGGCACCAGGAGGGGCTGAGCAGGGGCCCTCTGAGCACAGAGCGGTGAAGCAGAAGACCAGACTGTCACTGGAGGGAAGCCCGCAAAAGCGGGCCAGGACCTCAGTGCCTACTAAAGTAGAACATGTAAACAGGATCGAGTCTTTAGTGTAATACCTAAAATATTCTGGATATAATGAAAAATCACTGGTCATCCCAAGAACCGGGAAAACCACAGCTTGAATGAGGAAGGACACTAAGCTGACCCTGGGACCAGTTTGAGTTGACTGTTGGAATTATCCAACAAAGATTTTATAGCTGCTCTAAACAAATGCTTCAACAAGCAATTAGAAATTCTCTTGAATGGACAAAAGGGGGAAATCTCAGTGAAGGATTAAAAGTTATAAAAAGAACAAAATGGAAGTTACATAATTAGGAAGTAATAACCAAAACTTGAAATTCACTGGACGGGGTCGGTGGTGGAGTGGAGACGATGGAAATATAACCACTGAACGTGAAACAGATCAGTTAAATTTACTCCATCCAAACAGCAGAGATAAAAAAGTCTGGGAAAATGATGAGAGTCTTACGGATCTGTGGGACGATAATAAAAGATTTAACATTTGTGTCCTTGGAGGCTGAAGGGCCGTTGAAAGCGTGGGGCTGGAAAAAGCCCTTGAAGAAATAGTGGCTGAAAACTTTCCACATTTGGCAAAAGACAAATGTAAAGATTCAAGAAGCTGAGCAAACTCCCGAATAGGAGAAACTTCAAGAAATCTTCTCCCAGGAATATGAAACTTCTGAAAGTAAGAGACAAAGCAAACAAGTCTTAAAACTGCCAGGGAGAAATGACACATTACCTGGAAAAGGTGACCAACTTGGAAAAGAGCAAATTTCTCATGTGAAACCATGGGGTCCAGAAAGAAGTGGCGTGACGTTTTTCCAGAGCTGAAGGAAGAGACCTGTCCATCGGTCCTTCAGGAATGAAGGGGAAAGAGAGACATGCTCACACGAATTCCAAACTGAAACTAATGTAGCGAATGAAATGAAAAAGATCTAATAAAACAGTGCAGGGTTTAGGTGATTGACCAAATCTTGATAAAATTGAGATTTAAGTACTTGGGGAATCATACCATGTTCATTAATTGAAGAGTCGATGTAGGTAAAAATGTTAGGTATTAAATCAGTCTATTTAATGCAATTACTAGTAAAATCTCAGGAACTTTTTTTTAATAGATACAGACCAGTTTATTCAAACATTTATCTGGAAAGAGAAAGGCCTTAAAACAGCCAAAACGATTCTGAAGAAGGCTGAAGTGGGAAGAGTGTCTCTTCCTGATGCTGAGGCTTGCTGAGAGCTGCAGTGATCAAAGCAGAGTTATTCTTGTGGAGGGACAGACACACAGGTCATCAGAATGGTGTGGGGAGCCCAAAAGAGGGTCACGCAGATGTACCAGCTGGTTCTTGGCAAAGAAAGAAAAGCAGTTCCACGGAGGGGTTGTCTTTTCAGGATTAGTGCTGGAGAAATTGGACAGCCGTCCGTAGGCGAAAGTATGAGCCTTGACCTAAACCTCACACTGCATACGTGCAGTTATTAACTCAGAACAGGTCACGCACTCTAACGTGAAGCACAGACTTAAAAAACTCGTAGGGAAAGAAGATAATTTCGGGACCTAAGACTAGACAAAGAGTCCTTAGATTTGACACCAAAAGTACAATCCGTAAAAAGAAAAGCTGGGTAAATTGAACTTCATCAGAATTTAAAATTTCTGCTCTGCAAAAGACCCTACTAAGAGGAAGCAAATGCAGACTGTAGCTTGGGGGGAAGAATGTGTGGACCCCATGCTCAATGGAGGGCTTGTGTCTGGAACATACAAAGAAGCACCCAAACTCAACATTAAAAACCCAAAGAATCCAGTTAGAAAATGGGCAAAGGATGTCCTAAACATCTCGATGAAGAAGATGCACAGACGGCACATAAACATGGGAAAGGTGTTCAACAGATACTGGAAAATGCAAGTTAAAACCACAGTGATGTATGACTGCACACCTGTCAGAATGGCTGAAATAAAAAATAGTCATAAAATCAAATGCTGGTGAGGACGTGGAGAAAGTCAGTCACCCGCACGTTGCTTATAGGGATGTAAAGTGATACAGCCACCTGCAGAATAGCTTGGCATTCCCTTTTAAAACTAAAACTGGATTTATCCTACCGGGAGCAGGCAGTTCCTTCTTGGGTGTATGTCCCAGAGCAAAGAATACCTGTTTTCACTGAGAAACTTGTTATGTGAATGTTCTTAGCAACTTCATTCTTAATAGAAACGTTTCACTACCCAGACGGCCTGCGGCGGGTGAGCGATGAGCAGACTGCGGTATCTCCGCACCGTGGCCCACTCACTGCTCAGCGGTGAAAGAGAGCGAACTGCTGAGTCGTGCACCCAGCGCCTTGGCTGGGCTGGCGCAGGAGGTAACACCCAGAGAGGAGAGCCAGCCTTGAGAGGGCGCCTGCTGTGTGACTGCACGTGCCGACATTTTGAGCGTGAGTGTAGAGTTGGGGAGCAGACGGGGAGCGTGTGTGTGGCTGGACGTGTCCCGGGGACAGCGCGAGGCGGACTCATGCTGTGGTGCAGGGCATGTGAAGCTATGCGTGTGGTGAGATGGCACTGACACAGACACGCAGGTGTGGCAGGTGCACCTGGCGCAGTCCCTGTGGTTCGCCCAGTGCCAGCCTCCCCGGTACTGCAGACGTGCAGGAGGGTGAGCTTGGAGGGACCAGATGAGGGTGCACGGAACCTCACTGCCATGGCTTTTCACCTTTCTGCTGTTAGTCTGTAATGTTTCAGACTACCATGTTTTGGCAGTTAACATGGGAGTGACAGACTTGGCCTGGCGTCTCCCATACACTTCGTGAGGGGAAGCTGTGTCTTTGGCAGCACCCAGCCCGACTCCGCAGCGTGCTCCCACAGTGATGGGGGGCTCTTCCCAGCTCCCTGTTCATCCTGCCCCGCCTGTTTCTGACCTGTATCCCCAAAGCTCAAGCTCTGAGAAGCTCTTGCCAAGATCCCCTGGATGGGGAAGCACCTTTGGGCTGGACGAGATGGGCGGAGTGTGGGCATGCAGTGACCCTCTGTCCTGCACACCATGGCAAGGTGATGTCACTGTGCCCAGGCTGACGGCGAATTCAGGTAGTCTTGCTGAAGGCCAGCAGGGGTCAGATGGCCCTGGGCGACTTCGGGGTCGGTCATAGTCCATGTTGTCACCTGTCCCGGTACCCTGCCCTCCCCCACTCTCAGGAGCTCTGCTGCGGGAGGGAGCTGTAATGTTGATGGGGTAAGGGCACACACAACCCGCCAGAGGCTTCCAGGGTGAGATGCTTGATTTGTAGTCGGGAAGATGAGCAGAGGGAGCCATTTTAAGGACGTGAGGGAGGTCGTGGTCCACAGACCGTAGGTAGTTGACGTGGCCAGAACACAGGCATCATGATAGGGCAGCGACGGAGGTGGGCCTGGGAGGCTGGACCACACAGCCTGGGCTGCTGTTCAGGATGCGGGTCACTTCCTGAAGGCGGTGGCACCACTGAAGGATTTAGGTGGGGTCTGACGTGGAAGAGACTGTGGGAGAGGTCAACTACGTGGTGCAGAGTGGACAGAGTGGGAGAGGTGAGGAAGCTGTCGTGGACACCCAGGGGTCGGGGGAGGAGAGCTGAGCTGGGAGGAGCCTAGGAGGCCCGTCGCTGTTCCTGGGAGGTGCACGAGAGAAGCAGGGTGCTGGCCGCTTGGGGCCTGACTGGGTGGGGACTGTCGTGTGGGAAGGAGAGGGTGAGGTTGGGTGTGCAGACCATTGGCTGTGTCCTTGCTGCAGAAGACAGGTTGTCTCCACGGCAGCTGAACACGCGCGGGAGCTTGGTGCGGGGCTGCGAGGTTGTTTTGGGTTTGACAGTTGGCAGCTAGGTTGAAGCCTGGGACTGAGAAGAGAGCGGGGCGTGAGCAGGAATCTCAAGGATTCTGGATTGTGACGTGGGTGATGAGGCACCTGGAGCGGAGCCTGGGAGACACGGGGGATGTTGCCAGACGCCGGGGGAGCGAGCGCACAGATCCCAGAGGGCAGGTGCTGCAAATGCTGGTCATTGGGGTGTCATGAGCATTACTGGTCAGTTAAGAATGTTGAGTGTGGGAAGAGACTCAGAATATTAATGTTGATTAATATGCCAATTAACATTAAGTGAAAAAACCAGAATAACTGTAGTAAAATCTCAATTTTGTTAAAAAAAAGTTCGTAATTCATACATATACGTATAAGGAAATTTGGACGAGAATACCCTTAAATTTCATGTTTCTCAGATGGTAGAATTACGTCTGATTTATTTTTTCCTTAGTGTATAAATTTTCTACAGTGAATGTATATCATTTTTATGAGAGAAAAAATACTGATGTAAGTCAGGTGGATTCAGTTGAAACTGATTTCTTGTGGAAACGGTAATTGCAATATTTGTTCAAAAGGGTCCGTTTGAATTGTGAACTTGGAGGTCATCAGTCGCCTTAGAATACTTTCAGTCATAGTAGGATCAGAAACCAGAGTGTGGTGGATTGAAAGATGGATGGGAAGTTGGAAGATGTAGGTGGTGAATCCAGAAAGTGCACGTTCACCAAGCTGATGGAAAGGCTTGGACAGGGAGCTGGGGCTGAGGGTGTTTTCAGTTGGGAGGGGCTTGCACAGCTGTGTGCAGAAGGAAGAGAAAACGGGCAATTCGATAGCCCTATGCTTTTATGGAAGGGTGTTAGTCATTTCTAATAAGGAGATAACTCCATGTTTCTGATGAACTGTGCTAGGAAACAAGTTGGCGTGGGGTTGGGTGTGATCATGTGCAGCCTGGTCACGGGGTGTGGTCCGTGCAGGGCCTGCACTCACACACCTCCTGCCGAGTGTGCCTGCATGTAAAGCAGCCCTTGGAGAAACAGCGGGCTTCCGTACAGGAACACTGTGAGCTGGGGCTCAGCTGACCCCCATGGCAGCCTGAGAGCCTGGGTGCTTGAATGGCCCATGAAACAAGGCTGGTCTCTCTTTGAGTAGTTGATTTGGGGTCTAATTGCTACCTTCTTTTCCCGCTGAATGTGGGGGTTAAATAGAGAAAGGAAATGCCAGGGTCTGTGACCAGTTACCCACCAGATGGGGCCAGCATTTGCCAAAAGTCAAAAAGTGGCCCCAGCTGTTCCTGGGTGAGACGCTGCTGGAGCCTCGGTCGTTGTTTAAACTTAGTGCGTTAAATGATGAACAGGGAATCCTGCACAACCTGGCAGCCCTGTGCGGAGGCAGGCCCAGCTCTTCAAGAGGAGGGAAGCCAAGGAGCAAAGAGGAAGAGGTACGCCCCCGCATGCTCGCTGCCTCCTCGCCGCTTTGCGTGGACTGCCCTCCTTTCCCGCATGGTGCATATTCCTAACAGCCACCGAGGGCTTCGTGGGTCTGTAGGGACCTGCTCGTGTACTTTGACCGACATACTGTGCCATAATTTTGCCCCGTAACTGTTGTTCAGTGTCCTGAGTTCCGTTTCTTTTCTGTTGAAAAAATTAAATATTTGTAATCATTATGCATTTCTTTTCGGAAATAAATTTGTCTAAATTAAACACTCAAACGCTAATATTACATTTTCATTAACCAGATTGCAAAACTTTTATTTCTTGTATTCAGATTAACACTTTTCTTTAAAAAATTTTAGCAGTAACAATGTTGGTGGTTTTTTTTTTATTAAAATGTTGCAATTTTTTTCTCTCCTCGCAGGTTTATCTGGCAAGGCTGAGACAAATAAGACTGCAGAATTTCAATGAGCGCCAACAGATTAGAGCCAAGCTTCGTGGTGAAAAGGCAAGTTGAAGATCTATTTTTTTTTAAAGTAGTTGGATGACATAGTATGTTGAGATTAAAAACACTGTGCACTTAAAACAAAAGAAAATCTGATGAAGACAGTGAAAGTCACAGAGTGGAAAACTGTACCCTGAGGTAAAGTGAAGCTTATTTATGTGACTCAAAATTGGTAAGACCACTTGTTCAGGGGGACTCTGAGAGGAAGGTGTGAGTCCTAGCTGTGGACACGTCAATGGTACATTTTTATATCACTCTTTCCACCTTTTTTCCCCATGTCCGTAAGAGTTGATGGCTGGGGAGAGTTTGCTTGCGGCGGTGAGAGACGGTGGTAGCACTGAGCAGGCTACCCTGTGCACGTCAGGGGATGTTCACTCAGGTGAACTCAGCAGTGAATCAGAGGCTCTGCCCTAAGGGTTTGCTTACGTGCTTTTCTGCAGAAGGAGGCTGATAGCCCCGAAGGACAAGAGGGAAGCGAGGAGGCTGGCGTGAGGCGGAAGAAGGTTGAAGCACTTAAGGTGTGTATGGGGCTGACTCAGGTCTTAGAGAACATTGAAGTATGAAAGAGAAAATCGTGCTCTTAGGTCTTTCAGAGTTGAGTCGCCTGTTTCTCTTGCCTTAACTTTTCTTTGCCTTTTATCCCTCACTTGATGGTTTCTCAAAAATAGCCTGTTTCTCTCTTTATATTGTATTTATGGAGAGCAGTTTGGTGAAGCCATGGCGTAAATACATGAAACAGTTACACAAGTGACCTTAAAAAGGAAAATGGTAAACTTACAAATGGAAGCTGTAATTGTCCACTTCTGTGAAGACAAGTGCGTGTGTAACAGTTTAAAGTTTTTATGTTTTTCTTTCCATTAGAGTGCACCTGCATTTACTGTCATCCCAGAAATATTTATTGAGCAGACACTGTGTGTTGGGACCTGGCTTACGTGTGTTTTCGGAATCACGCGCGCGTGCGGGCACTCATACTCATTCACACACATGCACTCACACAGGTGCTGGGGATACAGCTTACGTGTGTATTCTAGAACCACAAACACACACACACACACACACACACACTTCTTTTTTGGACTAAAAAGTAAATGTTTTTTATAGGCCTAGAAAAAACCCAAACCCTGTGCCTCTCTCTGTTTTTCCTTCCAGGCCCAAGCGAGTGCGCGCGCTGCGGTCCTGAAGGAGCAGCTGGAGCGGAAGAGGAGGGAGGCGTATGAGAGGGAGCGGAAGGCGTGGGAGGAGCAGGTGAGGCGCCTTGCGCTCCTGGCCCTGCACCAGGTCTAGTTCTGGGTTTCTCTCTCCGTTTTCCCCGCATAGCTCTGGCTCTTTCGTCAGCTAAGGGTGGTCTGGACAGAAGTTACTTGGGGGCTGGATTTGAGGCCAGAACCTAGTTTGTCTTGCGTGTTTTTTATCATTGTCGAAGAGCTAATCACAGGAGCAGTGTGGTTTAGAGCCCGCCCCTCCCTCCGCCCGGGTCTGCGGCACTGCCCCAGGACCCTCCGCCCCGAGGGGACTGGCAAGCACATCCGTGGTGCACACACCCCCTTTCTGTCTGCTCTCCGGGTGCCTCCTTGTCTTGGTGATCTTGGGTTTGGAGTGAGTGTTGGTTCCTTAGAGTGCTCCTTCCTCATTCCCCCTTCACTCTGCTTTCTCCCTTTGTTTTCCTTAGTTATGTGCTGTTTTTCTCTGAGAGATGCAGTTTGGATAATTTTTGTTCTTTTTTAAAATCCTGTTAGAATTTTGAACATACTACCTGAAATCTATAAATTAACTTTAAGAACACCTGACATGTTTATAATAGTCTTTATCCAGAAACATGTTAAATATCCAGGTTTACTCATTGCATCTTTTATATCTCTTACATTATTTGAATCATTTTAAACTCACACTTGTTATAGTTTTTGTAAAGGTTATTTCTTGATGGTTTCTAATTCCATTTTTGCTTTTAAAGATTTTTCTCCCTAACAGAACATTGCTGACATTTTGGCTCACCTCTTACGCAGTGGGTTTACCTGTACCACCAGCTTTCAGGGTTCTTATCATGCAGCAGTATCATTACAGGTAGTCCTGATACATACTGTAACAGTAATTCCTGCAGTTCACTGGTTATTGTATGCAAGGCACAGTGTACCCACTGCGTGTGTGTTGCCTTGTTTAATCCTTACGACTTTACAAAGCAGATATAGAAAGGACAAACAATCAGGTGAGGTCACATTTCCAGTACATACAGAATCCAGCTTTGGACCTGTTCCTGTCAGGTGTCAAAGACTATTCTTAGGCACCACCCTTAAACTCCTGCTTTAAGATTTGCTTTTTATGACCATTTTATTCTTACTGCATTGGCCAGAACTTCTAGGACAGTTTTAAATGATAATAGGGATACTATTTTTGTTCCTGTCTTTAATGGAAATACTTTGGTCATTCCTCCATTATGTACGGTAAAACAGTAGGGAGTGTAGTTTGCGCTCTCGGTTTTACAGTTCCTTATCAGAAAGGTGTTCTGAGGGTTATCAAGTGCCTTTGGTGTATGTGTTAATGTGATTGTGTTTCTTAACCCGCCCACTGAGGCGGGGTGCAGGGGAGCCTCTTCCTAGCACAGTCCTAGCGGAGAACCACGTAGCTGCGGAGGAGTGAGTGAGGGCGCAGGACTGCAGGAGTTGGACGGAGTCAAAGTGGTTTTGTGATTTCTGCCCTTCCATTTTCTGTCCACAGCAGCTTTAGGTAGACACTGCCCTGACTTCTCCATCCTCTGCTAGTTACGTTTTTCTCTTCGTTTTCCAAAGTCCAGCAGTGGAGAACTCTCATCTTAGTTCCCCCTGTGCTTCCTGATTTGAGACACGGTGTGAGCAAGTCTTGACTATGAGACAGTCCCATGATGGGGTAGCCCGTCTCCCCCCAAGCCATAATTGCTCTGATCTAGTACTTGTCTCTGGCCTCTGTGTCAGAATCCTACCTGGCCTTAGACTGTTCGCTCTTTACCTCATGTTTTGAATCTGGTGTTCTCCGTTTCCCCTCCTCTTGGCCTTTGCTTCAGACACATCAGGGCGAGGGCGTGCGTGTGAGCTAACACTGTGCTGACCTGCTGCCTCTGCCCCCGAGGCAGCTGCAGTGGCCACGCTGTCAGAAGCAGAGATGCTCCATCCGCAGTCAGAGCGAGTCATTCCCCCGTTCGCTCGGTCTCCTGGCCTGGAAGCCGTGAGCCGGCCTTGGCGGTGCAGGCCTGCTGTATCAGGGGCCTTCTGCCCTTGTCCTTGGGGGCTGTATCTCCACCGCAGGAGGCAGGAACACCTCGCCCTGGGCCTCTCTGCATGGGGCAGACCCTGTGCAGGTGCCTCGGCGCGAACTCCAGCGTGTGCATTTCTAGTCAGCCTTCCTCGCGGTAAGCCCGCCCTGTGGCCCTGGAGCCCAGCCTCAGGGCTGCGGTTACAAGCCCCCTCTTGGCTGGTAGGCTAGTCTTCAGTAACCTGCTCCAGCAGTCTGCATAGCACGTGAAGGTGATGGGGACAGTGATGCAGCCATTAAATGCGATGAAGGGCTCATGATTCGTGCAGATCCGCCTTATTTAAGGTTGTGATCCGTTATGCAGAATTATGTGTGGGCATCAAAGCACTGACCATGGCGGTCAGCGTGGGAGCTGGTGGGTCGTAACACAGGTGCATTCCTGGGGAGTTCTGTGACTCGCGCTGCTCAGAGTCCTACACAGAGAGCACGTCCCGGTGTAGCGAGGAGGAAGGAGGCTGGGGCTCCGGGGTCCAGTCTGTGCCTCAGCCCTGCCTGCTCGTTAGCCCACGGTGGGGGACTGGCTTAGTGTTCATAGGCCTTTGCCTCCTCATCCCCTGACGAAAGTCTTCATCCCTGATGTTTCCTAAATTTTGCCTAGAAAAATAATCCTCATCATGTAAGTACTTAGTCCATTTTAATCTACGGAGAATGGATTGAAGTTACTTAACCAAGCAATTATTTCAGCAGGAAGTCTGATCTAGCATGATCTAGGTGTGGAGGGGGCTCCTGTGTCTGTATTTACTCACTCACCTGTTTCTCTAACTCAGGAGCAGCTCACATGGTATTTCAAGTTGGCCTTAGCATTATTCAGTCCCTAAATGTCTGTTAGAGGTTTGATTGTATGTTGATATGTTTTTGTTCAGTACGACCTCAGATCTTTCACTGCATTCTCAAAAGTATCTTTGAACTAACAATGAAAATCACTGCCTTCATTATTCTGATTATTTGGCATGTATACTCAATTATATGCCTTTTTCTTTCTGACACATTTAATGGTAAAAATTATGGTACTAAATAGGACTTGAGAGGGGAGAATAATTTTCATGTGTGATGATAGCAATTTTCCACCGAAATAAGTGTTGCTTTCCCAGCCTGCATGTATGCTTATCTTGCAAGTAAAGCATATAAGGAAGAGAGATTCAGTTTTTAAAAAGGTAGCAGTATATTTAGTAATTAAAATTCAATGAAAACTAGAATTAGGGAAATTGAGAGACTATATTTTTTGGTATGAGTTTCTTTTTAAATGCGTTTAACTCTTTCTGTGTGTTTTGCCGGTGTTTCTCTTTCAGTCCTGCCCTTTAACCTGCCAGGAAGGCTTGTGAGGCCCCCGCAGGGTGGGCACCTCACCCCTCTGGCATGTTCCTATTCTTAGACACACTCACAAATGCCCTGGAGCAGTACTGATTCAGAAAAAATGTTTCTTTTTTTTGTTTGTTTATTTTAGATTTCAGAGGCAGGGTTTAGAGAAGTTAAATATGAATTTGATAAAATTTGGCCGCAGGTATCTTTAGGCTGTATAAAATTATGTGTGAAATTGCTCTATACTCAGAACATGAAATCAGGGCATTTAATAGTATTTTACTAACATGCGTTAACATCTTCCTAGTCATTCAGCATGTAGAGGTGGAATAGTACTTGCATTTGTCCGTACTTCAAGAGTAGCTAAACGTTCATGTATTTATAAACTCGGCCTCAGTACTTGGTGAAATTTTTAGTCTTGTCAATAGGTGGCGCTGCTGGTTAATTTTTTCAGCAAATAGTAAAATTGACAGCTAAAGGAGAAGCAGTTTTACAGCGATAATTAAAAACCTTTTGTGGAGCTATAAGCAATAGGAAAGTCTTGAATTTATTACCCTTGTGATAAAATATCTAGGGAAAAATCTTCTAACGCAGTTTGTTTCTTCAACCTGACTTATGAAACTTTCAAGTCAATGTTTCATTCATACTGCAAATCAAAAAAAAAACCTTTGAATTTTGAAAAACTTAGAATGAAGTATGTATTCTAGACTTAACTGGGTGATCAGTTTGTAACAAAATTAGGTCATTTGTTTTGAAGTTGTGTGTTTTTGTCTTCTCTAAATTTGGTTACTTTTTGTGTTGTTTTATCATATTGGATCATCTTTCTGAATTAAAAACTCAGTTGAATGTTTTCTCTTTTGACAAATTTAAAAATACATTATTATCTTCTATCTCAAGATCTGGTTCATATTGAAAGCACTAACATTTCTGTTTGAAAACAATGTATCTGTGATGTTTACACAGAAGGCTAAGTCTGTACTAATAAGTGACTGATGTGTATGTATCACCTTGGCTGATAATGGTGTTGCCTCATCTCAGTAGTTACCTTGAACTGCCTGTCACGTTTCAATAACTGAGTTATTTTGTTATGAAGTAACTGTAACAGTTGGTAGGACGTTCTGTTTGCTTTTGTTCTTTGGTTTAGTTTTCATGTCTGAGTTTCTTTGCTTGTCCACCATCTTGGGTTCTTTTGACATGTTTAGCTTAGTTGACCCAGAGGCCTGGTTATAGAACGTGGGCATTTACTGAAGGCTGCAGAACAGCCTTGTCATAAAGATATCAACAGCCTTGTCTACACAATGGGTCGGATATCTTAGATTGGAGACTGCATACCATCCTTAGCCATCTACGGCAACCAGGCGGATGTTAATATAATACAGAGTAGACTTTTAGTAGTGACGTGTAAAACTTTTCATTAAAATACCTTCTGTTGATTAAAAGAGAAGGTTTCCTTTCAGAGATGAGTAGTGTGATGATACTTAACAGAGATCTCCTACATCAGACCCTAACCCCACTGTCCCGAGTTTAATTGTCACTGATCTCATGTTGTGTTTAACTTAAAGCACTTTATCCATAAGCAGATTTTTTATGTGTTACTTTAGGTTCCTCTTAAGGTTGAGATTAATACAGGAATGTCTCTATTCAGTATATTTTAAAACATAAGAATACAAAGTCAAAGTAAAGGGTTTTCAATCCCCTTATGTGACTTCTGCCATTAACTAAAGGCAGATCTGCTAAATATTCCATAGAGGTTTGTACGTTTTTCTCTTGCCCTGTGTCTGCGGTTCCAGAGGGCTGTGCTGTGCCTTGTGTACGTCACGTAAGAAGTGTGTGTGCATGGATGAGCACTGAAGAGAGTGTGGGTAAGCAGAGTGTAATTAGCCAGAGCACGTGTAGATGGGTGAATTTTTTATTCTTTGACCAAGAGTTGCTGTAATGTTCCTATTACAGAATCTTCCCAGTGGCTTTGGAACTGACTTTCGAGATCACCTCTGTAAGCAGAAATGAAAATTGTATCATAGGTTGAGAAGGGAGGTTGGTGCTGTTCTTACTGGAGTGAAATTGGTGAAATTCATATTACCACTTTTGTTTATTCATACAATTAAATTACTTTTTTGATCACTTTTTTATCTCAGATTTTTTAAAGCTCATAAGGTGAAGTATTTGCCTCTCAGGTTTCTGCTGCTTGTTGGCTTCTGTGTCATAGATCTTTGCACGCAGTGTTAAGGCTTTAAATTCTCATTATGCACACACGAGCAGGTTTTGTTCTATTCTATAATCTAGAGGTCAGAAGCGCTTTGTGTAAGTCTCTTTGTCTTGTCAAGGGCGAAAACCAGAGTTTCGGTGTTTAAGACAAATAGCCCTGTTTAACAGAAACTAAGTAAGTATTTACTGAACTATAGTAATTACAGCTTTATTAGGCATACAGCTGTGCACTTTATATAAAGTATCATGTCTAATCCCTGTAGCAGCGGGACACTTTGTGCAGCATTCCCGTCTTAGAAGAAGTCTGAAGTCCAGAGAGGGTGAGAAGCAGCACAGAGTCGCAGGTTGGAGTGGGGGCGTGTATGAGCCCCGCCTGCGCTCCGGCATGCCGCCCCCCACACACACACGGCGTCCTGGCTTCTCTCCGCGGGCGGGTCCCCGGGTCTGAGCCCCCAGATCACTGGGCGCACAGCTTCTGCCCCGGTCTCACTGTGACTGCTGGCTGGTTTGTGCTGCCCTCTCTTCCAGCCTGTCATCCTTTCAGGGAAAGCACTTGGCCATCATTTTGATTTTTCCTCCTTTTTTTTTTGTTTGAAAATTATTTATTGCAGTTAGTTTTCTAGGTTTACTGAGCTAGAATTCTCAAATAATTTTCAAATCAGAAATTACTGAGTTAAATAAAACGGCAGAGTTTGCACATCCAAACTAACTCGTTTCCTTCAAAACGCTCACATAGGGAAGTAATGTACTTGTTTAAAAATGCTCCCGTTTGTCCAGAACCAGTTGGAGCATGTTATATATCCCAGGATTTATGTTCCGTTTTTGAATATACTTTATGGTAATAAGACGACCATAAAGTTTCAAAACACTTATGTATAATCTTTCAAAGGACTACTACTCAGTTTTATGAGCTCTAGATTTTTTGAAAAGTTATTTATAACAACATCTTAAATATCAGAATACCTTTCAGCAGTGCTGAACTGAGATTAAAGCAATGTTTTCATCTTCCTCTTCTTTTTTGATAGAGACTTATTTTTTTAAGAGCATTTTTAGACTCACAGCTAAATTGAGGAGATATTACATACCCAGCCCCCCCCCCACAGGTATGTGGCCTCCCCCATTGTCAGCGGAGCCCACCAGATGGTAACATTTGTTACGATTGATGAGCCTGCGCTGACACGTTGTCCCTGGAAGTTCTTAGTTCACGTCATGGTTCCCTCTTGCTTTTGCACATTCTGTGGTTCTGGACACGTGTATAGTGATATGTGTCCATCATCGTGATACCATACGTGGTGTCTTCAGGCCCTAAAGTCCTCTGTGCTCTGCCTGTTCATCCCTCACCAGCCCCTGGCAGCCACTGACCTTGTTACTGTCTCTGTAGTTCTGCCTTCCCAGAGTGTCGTGAGGCCTCTGCAGGTTGACTGCTCTCATTGATACTCATGTCAGGCTCCTCCTTGATTTGCCTCACTTGATGTCTCACTTCTTTTTATTCCATGTAGGTACTGGTTTTTTAACCATTACCTACTGAAAGGCATCTTGGTTGCTTCCAGGTTTTGGTGTTTATGAATAAAATTGCTGTGAACATGTGTGTGTATGGTTTTGTGTGGACATAAGTTCTCAGCTCCTTTGGGTAAATACCAGGGAGCGTGATTGCTGGATCTTATGCAAGAGTATGTTTTAGTTTTGTAAGAAACCACCAAACTGTCTCTGAAAGTGACTGTGCCGTTCTGAGTTCCCATCAGCAGCGATGGGAGTTCCTGCTGCTCCACGTCCTCAGCAGCGTTTGGTGGTGTCAGTGGCGGGGTTTCAGCCATCATAGTTGGTGTGTAGCGGTGCTACATTGTTCTAATTGGCAGTTTCCTAACAGGATGCGAGTGGAGCATCTTTACATGTGCTTAACTGCCTTCTGTGTGTCTTTGGTGAGGTATCTGTTCAGATCTTTTGCCCATGTTTTAATTAGGTTGTTTGCTTTCTTATTTTTGACTTTTAAGAGTTCTTTGTGTATTTTGATTAACAGTCCTTTCTGTCTATATTTCATTTGCACATGTTTTCTCCCGTTCTGTGGCTTGTGTTCTCATTCTCTTGACAGTGTCTTTCACAGAGGAGAAGTTCTTAAATTTGATGAAACCCAGCTTATTAACTCTCTTTCACAGATTGTGCTTTTGGTGTTGTATCTCAGAAGTCATTGCCAAACCCAAGGTCATGTGGATTTTCTCCTACGTTATCTTCTAGGAGTTTTGCAGTTTTGACTTTTACATTTAGTTCTGTAATCAGTTGTGAATTAATTTTTGTGAAGGGTCTGAGGTGTTTGTTTGTTTGTTTGCCTGTGTGTGTCCAGCGGCTCCAGCACCATCTGTTGCTAAGATTGTTCTTTCTCCGTGGAGTTGCCTTTGCTCCTTTGTTAAAGATCAGTTGACTCTATCTGGTCTGTTTCTGGGCCTTCTGTTCTATTCCATTGGTCCATTTGTTATTCTTGCATTAACATCTTGACTACTGCAGCTTTTAGTGAGTCTGGGAGTCAAGTAGTGTCATTCTCCACCTTTGTCCCTTCAACATTGTGTTGGCTACTTCCATCTTCTTTCCAACAAAACAGATATTAGCATAAAATGAAAGTCCACAAAACTCAGTATTATCATTGTATTACTATCTCATGCTTAGAAGACGCCCAGTAAGCACAGTGTTTGAAATATTTACTCATCAAAAATCCTTGTTCACTGGTTTGAAGAAGAGATGGAAGGAGGGAGCGGGCTTGCTGCCCGCGTTGGTCTGCGCTTATTGTTAAATGCCGTTTCCTCATATTTATGGAAAATTCAGAATCTTACTTTCACTAAAAATATGTGCAAGATCAAAGCAGCAAATGTATGAATGTAACAAGTGGTGTTTTTAGTGAAGTAAATCTCATTACCCGACCCTTTTGCTTTTTCCTTTCTTACTTACATTGACATTTTTATCATCAGGGCTCTCATGTTGGATGATTGATGTTCAAACTTCAAGAAGATTGTGCCAGACTTGCAGGAATTGTAGAAGCATTTCTTTCTGAAGAATAAGATTAATAAATAAAATATTTTTTCTTTCTGCCAGATTTTGTAATGGATTAAAATTAAAGGAAGAGGGTTAATGTTTAACTCTGTAATCTTGTAGAAGGCAGTTTGTGAAACACTGTGAATGCGACGGAAAGGAGTTATTTAGTGCTGTGTGACACACAGTTATGTTTTCTGTGAGGCCAGAGGTGTTTCTCTCTGTTTACTGATCTTTCCCCAGCACAGCAAAAATTGAGGAATGAAAAGAACTCCTTAATAAAAAAATTTTTTTTCTGCTGTATAGCACAAGGAACTATGTTCAGTCTCTTGTAATTGCCTTTAATGGAAAAGAGTATCAGGGGGAGGGTATAGGTCAAGTGGTAGAGTGCATGCTTAGCATGCACACGGTCCTGGGTTCAATCCCCAGTACCACCTCTAAAAATAGATAAATAAATAAATAAACAAACCTAATTACCTCCCCCCACAAAATAAAAATTTTTTTAAAAGAATTTGGAAACGAATATATGTATGTGTATGTGTGACTGGGACACTGTGCTGGACACCAGAAATTGACACATTGTAACTGACTGCTTAAAAAGAAAAAAAGAGCTTGATAGAGTGGACAGACAGTGATCTTGTAGATACCACTTTAATTCTTCATGCAAATGTACATTTCCCACTGTGCTTGCATTCTTTATGACAGCTGGTGGCTAAAGGAATAAAGAACTCAGATATGTCTCCGCCTTCGGGGCAGCATGGGGCAGGTGGCTCTCCCTCAAAGCAGCAGATGAGACCCGTTATTTCTGTGACTTCAGCTTTGAAAGAAGTGGGTTTGGTAAGTTTCCTAACATTTAGAACTCCTCAAATTCAAAAGATTATTAAAAGGCTTAAATTTTATGAAATTACATTAATTCCTAATGTTCCATTAGGTTTTTCTAAGAAAAAATTTACTTCTTAAGATTTTTGTGTATGGTTTACTCTGGATTTTGGAGCCTCACTGCTTTTAGGTTTTATATGTAAGACCACCTGGTAGATAAAAATATATTAAAATGACTTTTTTTTTAACTTTACAAGAATATTGAATAAAAAATACAGAAATGTATGAAAACTAATGCAATAATAAACATTTTTATGTCCTAGCCCACAATTAGTTTCACCTTTTAAAAAAATAGTGTCTTTTTGGTACTTAATTAACTCTGGGAATAATGTGCAAGACATGTTTGCATGTGTTTTAAAATGTTTGGCATCGCAAACACTGGAGGACTGAAGTAAGTGTAAGCAGAGTCCCAGTTAACTCACCAGTGGTGTCTCTGACCTTCTGCTGGTGAGTCTCTGCTGTGCCGTGTGGGTGGTAGAACACAGAAACGTGGGCAAGTGGGAAGTGAAACTTGGAAGTGAGTGCTGGGTGTCGTCTGAAATGTCAGAGCTCCGTTCCGAGGTGGAGGGCAGGGGGTTTGTGATGCGGAGTTCCCGCCTGGGCTCCAGCAGGCCCGAGGAGAAGCCTGTGGAGTCGTGTCTCATGTTAGCCTGCTTTTCTCCTTTCCTGGAGTTGAAGTCTGTGCCTTTCTTCTGTTGAACTTCATCACGTCTTTGCAGACAGCACTGCTGTTACTGGCATGCCAGTTTTTTACAGCCTTTGTGTTTATCTTGAAAGTTAGACTTCATAGGAAATACGAGTCTTGGTCACACTCAGAAGCTTCGTGTAGGAAACACTGGCTTCACGTGGGTGTGGTCTCTCTCTGGTGACGACTGGTGCCGTGCTGTCCTCCGCAGCCTCAGGGGCCACTGCGTGGGTCCCTTCCTCCTCCCCAGGCTCTCATCTCAAGTAGCTGTCACCTCTCTGGTTGTAGCGGCTGCTAATTCCTGACTGCTTTACTGGGTAAAGTGCTCTTTGTCTGACTGACATTAAAACTGCTACTTTTAAACTGACCACTGTTTAATAAAATTTGCAGTAATTCAAGTAGCCAAGTGGTTTTTCTCTGTGTTTTCTTGGTAAATAAATATCACTTAAAACCTTAAGAGCTGCTTTTCCTCACCCAGAGCCTTCCAGTTACCTTTGCTCTCATAGTTTTCTTAACACTAATTTCTTCTTTTCATATATTTAAAAATTCTAGGTGGTCTAGATTGCTCTGATTGTACTAATCAAAAGATAATTCATATTATTATTAGTTCAAAAGAGTCAGAATTCTTTGTGGTTGCTTTTTGCTTAGGGGGAAAAGCCAGTTCTCAGTTATGTTTAGTACGTAGCACAGCTAACAAGAATTCGTGTACCCGAAACATAAAGATAGCTTCCAAACACATAACGTGAATTACTCATTCATCAGAACTTCCCTAGCTCTCATTGAGTATATAAATTAATTTTTAAAGTTCCTACCATAAATTCAAAATTACCAAAAATCAGGTGCCCAAGAGAAAGAGGCTGTAGTTAAACATGTGATGAGGTAATCCAGAACTATGACAAATAATTGAGAATTGGCCTTTCTAGTGTGTATTAAGGCTACGAGATGATAACATTTAACTGTTTCTCATTGCTGATAGCGAAGGAAGCTGTGTTACCATTTCGCAGGAATAAAAATATTCACAAGGAGCTTGAAATGTTAATGAAAAACAAAAAGTAAAAATATCAAAAATTTTAACGTAGACTTCTAAGAAAAACATTATTTCTTACTCTGTAACTATCTGTGTTTAAAGGACAGAAGCTTAACTGACACGCAGGAAACCCCGGAAGAAGCGCAGAAGACCAGCAGTGCTGTTTCAGTGGGTACAGTTTCCACATTTTCTCTGTCATCATTTTACTTGGTCGTATACCTACTAAAATACAACATTTTACCTTTCAGAGTAAGCGAGAAATACTTCGTCGGTTAAATCAGAATATTAAAGCCCAAGAAGAGGAGAACGAGAAGCAGGGCCCCTCTGAGCCGGAGCTGAGCACTGCGCACGAGGACGCCCCGGGGCAGGAGAGGGAGAGGGCCCCGGCCGATCGCAGGAAGTGGGAGGCCGGCGGCCGGCTGGCCGTGCCCGCGGAGGGGCTGACCCTGGACACATCCTTCTCTGCCTCGGGAAGTACGTGCGGCGGGGCCGGGTCCCAGCGGTGGGGCTCGGAGGAGGGGGCGCACTTGGGGGCCGGGGGCATTCCTGCTCCAATGAGAAAGGAGAGCGCGACTCCAGGATAACGGGCTCTGTTAGGACGGCTGCGGGGCGAGCGGGCGCTGTGCCCCAGTCTCTGTCGTGTCCCCAGGTCTCCTTGACCAGAAGGAGGAGGGCAGGGGGTAGGGGCGGGCAGTGCACTCGGCGGGGTCTGCGAAGGCGCTGCGCCGGTGTGGACAGTCTCACCGCGCCCTCTGCGCACTGAGGGCTCTGGGGACCGGGCCGGGTCCCCCGGGAGTAACCGCGCTGCTGCAGGCGCATGTGCGGGCATCGGCCAGTCTCGGAGGCCCAGGGCGGCTCCCGAGGGAGAGGTGTGCCGGGGGTGGGGTGGGGTGGGGCGGTGAGCCTGAGCCGCACGGGGGCGCGCGGGGAGGGGGCGTGCAGGGAGCAGCCAGGCTGGGTGCACCTGTGCAGGCCAGCTCGGCACCGGGTAGGGTCAGAGACGACGCTCTGGTGATGAGTTCTTTCAGCTTTTGCATGTCTGTGAAAGTGTTGATTTTTCCTTCCTTTTGCAGATATTTTTTCTGGGTATAGAATTCCTAGTTGACATTTTCTTCCTTCAGTGCTTCGGGGGGTGGCTCCAGTGTTTCCAGTTTGCACTTCTCGCAGTTTTCCGTCAGCCTCATTCTTTGTTTCTGTGTATGTGATGTGTCTCATTTCCTCTGGTTGCTTTTTAGAGTTTTCCCCCCAAAGCCTTGGTTTTAGTAAATTTGATTATGCTGTTCCTTGGTGTCATTTTCCTTGTGTTCCTCTTGCTTGACTTTCATTGAGCTTCCTGGATTTATGAGGATACAGTTTTTATCAAATTTGGAATTTCTTTTTTGCCATAATTATTTTTTCCAGCTTTTTTGTCTTCCTTGCTAGAAGTTCAATGTGTATCTTGTTAATGTTTCCTTGTCCCTAATTTTTATCATCAGTCTTGTCTATAGCTTGTTGAATGTTTAGAATTTAGTTATAATGACAGTTGTAAGTGTCCCTGTCTCCTAGTTACATCATGTTGGTCATTTTGGGGTTGGTTTTGATTGGCTGGTTTTTCCCCTCTTTGTTATGTGTGGACTTTTCCTGCTCCTGTGCCTGTGTGGCTGTTTGTTGGGCTGAACAGTGAGTTTTCCCTTGATGGGTGCTGTGCATTTCTGTATCCCTGTCAACATTCTTGACCCTGTTCTGGGACACAGTTCAGTTACTTGTAAATGGCTGGCCCCTTTTGGTCTCATGTTGGACTTAGGGGAGCCAGGGCTGTGTTTAGTCTGTGGCTCGCCTTTCCCCCTTGCTGGTCAGAAACCTTTCTGAGTGACCTGCCTGTGGCCTTGTGAATTATAAGACCTTCTTTTCCGGCTGGTGGGGTAATAAGGTTTTTTTTTTTTTTAATTTATTTATTATTTATTTATTTATTTTAATGGAGGCACTGGAGATTGAACCCAGGACCTTGTGAATGCTAAGCACGTGCTCTCCCACTGAGCTGTACCATCCCGCTGGCTGGTGGGACTGGGGACTATTTCTGACCCTGTTTGAGCTCAGAATGTTATTCTTTCTGTTTTGGGTGGTCTCTTCCCTAGACTACAGTGACTGTCTCACACGTGCTGATCAGCATTCAGCTGAAGGTTCCAAGGGCCCTTTTCAGTCACCCTGAGTTCTCTTCCCGAGTAGCTCTGTGCCCTCAGTGCTCTGCTCTGCCAGCACCAGCCACTCCGCCTCCCCAGATGGGGACTCCCCACCCCTAGCCCTGTTCAGATCACTTCGGCACCTTTATCAAACCATGTGACTCTGAGTTATGGGTCTGTTTCTGGGCTTTCTCTTTTTTAACTATTCTTTTAAAAAATGGATTCCCTGTTGGTGATCGTGTTGGCTGAACAAAACTGAGTAGTACCTGCTAATTTGCAGATCCTTACTTGCAGGGACTAATACATAAAGATTTGTATCAACATGTATGTTTGAGTTTATAACCAGTCCCTTCCTGGCAGGCACCTATATGCTTTGTGTATTATTATCAGTGTCCTAAAGACTCAAACATCAGTAGATAGTTTTCTATTTTTTGCTTAGCCAAATTTGGTTAAAAAGGCTTATGCCAAAATATTGTCAAAAAGGGAGAGTCATGTGCTTACCTATGATACATAAGGTGAAATACATCTTCTCATAAATACTTTTCTCCCCTTTTATTTATATGTGCATTTATCTCAGGATTTGTTTTCTATTCTCTTCAATTAAATTTATAGAAACAAAATATTAATTCACATTTTATCTATTTTTATACTACAAGTTATTCTTAAGTATCTTAGGTTTAAATTTTTTTTCTCAAATAAAAAGTTATAGAAAGATAATTTGTTTTTTTCCATTTTTATATTCCCTAAAACTAGAGTTTAATTCGTAAGTATTTTACAAGACAACTGTAAATGTGTTTTTTATTATCAGTAGTAGTCGCTTCTGTCCTTTCTAACATTTACTGTTCATTCCCTGAAAGTCTTTTTTAAGCATCGTCATCATGTGCTGTTTGTGATACGACCTTTTCTCCTGTAAAGCACTCAGTTGGGTAGAAGACCTTAAGTCTGCCTGATAGTGTGGTGGTGTTATGTTCTACTACTGAAAATTGTTTCTGTCTTTTTCTTCTAGAGCATACAGTGGGAGAGGTTATTAAATTAGATCCTGGTGGATCTCCAAGAAAATCTGGGGGAGAAGCCCTACTGATTCTGTTCTGAAGATCCTTGGAGAAGCTGAGCTGCAGCTGCAGACGGGGCCGTTGGAGGACACAGTGCTTGGGAGCGGTGAGCGGAGACTAGAAGTGATGTTAACAAAGATGTGTCTGTTTTAAGCGAATTATCTGTAATAGGTTATCTTTTTACTATGGCAGTTTTCTAGTTACATGGAGAATGGTTGCATTTTATGGGGGGTTGTCTCGGATGGTCGTCTGGAGTTTTGATCTGATTTAACTGGGATGGCTCTAAAAATAAAGGAGAGGGAAGTGTCTGTGGTGGAGGGGGCACAGGAAATGCAGAGCAGTCGAATGCTGTTTCCCGTGGAGAAAGGTGGGGGAGCAGTGCGCTGAGATGAGTGGTGTGTTCCCTGTGGAGTCAGCAGTCACGTTTACTAGAAGACAACAGGTTTCTGAAGTGGGGACCACAGGCGTTGCCCCAAGACTGGGCAGGACGAGCTCCTGCGAGGCGAGAGGAGAGCGCTGGCGGTCCACGCGGGTGGTGGGTCTCAGAGTCACCCCTGCGCAGACACAGAGTGCTCTTGTTGTAAGACAGGTGTTTTAAGGTTTGACAGCTTTTTCAAAGAGGAAGTTTTTCTTTCTTGGAAGCTGTGTGAAGGCTTGAATGTGTGTGTGCTTCACGTTTCTGTGTGTTCACACTTGCTCCCGCCCTCTCTGCCTTTTACTTGCCTCTCCTTAAAGCTCAGAGTAAACCTCAACCAAAACTGACAGAGAAATAACCTGGGAGGTGAAGCAGTTCACGTTGTGTAAAAAGGGATCATTAGCCAGATGCTGGCAGTTAGCTCCTGGAATGAGCCTGCACGCTTGTTCCTGAAGGAGCAGGAGTAGGTTGTTCTTTGCTTATTAAGAGCGGACCTCCCCGCCTGTAACCATTATAGCATTTTCTTTATTATTAAAGGGAAAAATACCTTGAATAAAGCATATATATTTGATAAAAGGACAGGTACACAAAGTGTGTATATTTTTAATTAATTTGTTCACACTCTTGAGTCTGAAAGTTGTACAGTTTATGCCAAAACTAATCTAAATAAAAAATACTGGTTATAGCATTTTTCTTTCTCAGTCTGAGCCTGTTCTAAAAATGCCCCAAGCTTTATTCAGAAAAAAATGCCTCCAGGCCGAAACATTTTCAAAAAAGATGATAAAAATTTCAGATTATTTTGTAGTCTGAAGTCCTAAATACATTCATTAGAACCATTATTTTTAGAACATCACATTCTGATTCCACTTATGTAAAATTTTTATTGCTTAAACATAGTAATTTGGTGGGTAGTGAGACTCAGGCCGTGTGAAAGCAGGGCTCTCCTCCTCCATATGAGGAGTCCATCTGCGTAGAATTGGGACTGAAAAGTCTTTTTTATGGTTCACCTCACTTTTTAAAAATCCAGTTTACCAGCTGTTTATTGAACACTTGTACGTACTATTACGTGTGAGGCGGTAAAGCTACAAAGAGTAAAAGGTCATTCTTGCTCTCGGAGGACAGACTCAAGTGAAAACCAGTGAGGCATAATATTGCGTGAAAAGAATTGACTTTATCTTTGATAGTTGAGGGCTTCCCAGAGTTGTCATCTGGCCCCCTTAAATTTTTTCTTCTAACTACATGTACTTAGAATACGCTCTCTGCTGGGTTTTTAAGACAAAGAGGTCATGGTTGTTACCAGCACAGAAATAGCGTGTGGTGTCTGTTCTGTGTTGGTGGTGTCGCCTGTGCTGTGGGGCCACAGCTGAGGAGGCTCTGTGTTGTCAGTGCTGTACAGTGCCATTGTGATGAGAGACGTTTCGGGATCAGGGAAAGTCACAGAGAGAGTGGGTGATTTTGAGCCGGGCCAAAGGGGAAGAGAGCTCACTGGGGAGATGAAGGAGAGAACGGAACTCTAGGCAGTTTGTAAGGACGCGGAGGTTTAGTTCATACGTATGTGCGTCTCATGGCAAGAAAGTTCTGGTTCCATCACTTTCTGGCAACCATGGGCAGGTTCCTCTGACTTTGACATCCAGTTTCTCCATGTGTAGAATGGAAACACTGGCATCAAGGATAGTTCTGTGGATTAAATGACAAACACGATGGACTTGCGGTGTCTTTAGTCTTCCCGTCCTTAGTCAGTGTCTCTCGTCATTTTGATTGTGGAAGCTCTTCTGTAATAGTTCCTTAGGAAGAGCTTGTATGAACAGGTCCACCAGAGATTTTACATGTTCCTAGCAATTTATGTGAAGACTTTATTCTTAGAGTAGGCTGGGCTACATTAAATCCTTGACCTACATTTCCTCTCCTTGAATGTCGTTAATGTGTAACGCGGTTTCATTGTAGCAGAAAGCGTAGCTGCCAGAACGTCTGGTGACAGTCTTTTCTTTTCCTGTAAGTGACTTGATCTTTTTGCTTGGATGCTCAAAGGGTATCTTTTTCCTTAAAGTCTAATTTCCTTAGAACATGTTTTGTTGTTCGGTTTATTTTTCTATTATTTTCATGATTTGTTTGTTTGTTTGTTTTCATAGACTTCTGTTTTAGAGTAGTTTTGGGTTCACAGAAAAATTGAGCAGAAAATAGAGACAGTTCCCATATACAACCTTCTCCGTAACCAACAATCCCCCCAAGAGTGGTGCATGTGTTACAATCAACAAATCAACACTGACACATGATTATTACCCCATATCTGTAGTTTACCTCAGGGCTTCACTCTTGCTGTGGTATTTTCCGTGGATTTTGACAAATGTACATTGGCCTGTATCCACCATGACAGTAACATCCACAGGAGTTTCCTGCCCTGAAAAACCAGTGTGCTCTACCTACTATCCCTGCCGCCCCCTAGACTCCTAACAGCCATTGATCGCTGTGCTGTCTCCGTGGTTCTGCCTTTTCCAGGAAGTCGTGTGGTTGGAATCACAGTGTGTAGCCTTTTCAGACTGACTTCATTCACTTAGTAACATGCATTGAAGGTTCCTCCGTGTCTCTTCATGGCTTGACAGCTCATTTCTTTTTATTGCTGAAGAATATTCCACTGTGTGGGTGCCCCCGTTTGTCAATATAGGTTATTTAATACTTTATTCACTTTCTGAAGGGCAGCTTGGTTGCTTCCAGCTTTTCGTGATTATGACTAAAACTGCTGTAACATCTATGGGCAAGTGTTTGTGTGGACATATATTTCAACTCATCAAAGTATATGTCAAGGAGCATGACTGCTGGATCATATGGGAAGAGTCTGTTTAGTTTTGTAAAAAAAACACCGAACTGCCTCTGAAAGTGACTGTGCCGTTCTGCGTTCCCATCAGCAGCGATGGGCGTTCCTGCTGCCCCGCGTCCTCAGCAGCGTTTGGTGCTGTCAGTGGCGGGGTTTTAGCCTTCATAGTTGGTGTGCAACGGTGCTACATTGTTCTGATTTGCAGTTTCCTGATAGCATGCGAGTGGAGCATCTTTACATGTGCTTAACTGCCTTCTGTGTGTCTTTTCTGGTGAGGTGTCTATTCAGACCTTCTGCCCATTTTTTAATTGGTGAGGGATTTTCACTATGTATTAAATTACGTAGATGTGGGAGGGGTTTGTTGCTTTGCTTTTGCTTTGTTTCATTTTGGTTTTTGCACTTTAAAGGTCTCGCTGCATTTTCTTCTGGTATCCAAATTATGTCAGTTTTATGTCTTATTTTTTTTTGTTTGAAAGTGATAGGTGCTTCTCTTTAAGCTCATCTAATAGTTTCTCTTGGTTTTTCAGCAATTTTACCAGGATATACCTAGAGAGAGTTTCCTCTGTTTTTAACCTGCTTTGGGTTTTTTCAGCTTCCTAAACCTGGAGGTTGGTAAGTTTTTTCAGTCCGGGGACATCGTGTCCTTTAGGTCCTCCTGTGTTGATCTGCCCGTTCTCTTTTTTGGATTCTAGTGACATGTACATTAGACCCTTTGAATTTGTCACATTTCCTTTGTGCTCTATTCTACTTTTTTACCTTTTTCCATTTTGCTTCTGTTGACCCCTCTAGCATTTCCCAAGTCCTCCTGCTTTCTCTTACCTGTGTTACAAGTATCCAATGAGTTCCTAATATCAGATACTGGCTTTCAATTCTAGAATGTCCACTTCATGTTCTTTTATAGATTACAGTTTTCCTTTGAGAGTATCCATGGATTTGTCCGTTTGCCCCCTCTCTTTCTGTCTTTGCTTGAACATATTCATCAAAGTTGTTTTAAATTCCTCCTTGATGAACCTCACAGCTGGCTTATCTGGGTCTGTTTCTGTGTTATCTAGGTCTGTTCGGTTCCTGTTGTCTCTTTTCTTGGTTTTCAGTTGCTTTTTCCTGTTTGCTTTTTATAGACCATGCGTTATAGCAGAGATTAATGAATTTTTTTGTATAAATTGTGAGATTGTAAATACTCTAGCCTTTGTGAGCATATTATCCTATTTAAATTTTTCTACAGCCCTTTAAAAATGTAAATGCTTTTCATAGCTTGCAGGCTGTACAAAACCTGGGCACAGGTTAGAATTTTTGTGCCTGAGTTTTACAGTATTTGATTGGATGCCAGACAGTGTGGTTGAAAAATTTAATAGCCTCTGGATGTTACCTTTCTTCAAAGAAGGTTAAGTTTTCTTCTTAAAACTAAGTAATGCCAGCAGATTACCTTGCCACTGTTGAGGTTAGTCGCAGCCTGTGTGCGGTCCTGATTGCCGGCTTGATTCCGGGCTGCAGCCCTCACTCCTGTGCCTTGCTCTTTCGGCTCAGCGTTGGTAGTGCTTATTCACCGTGCTCCTGGGTCTCTCCCAGACACCACCCGCCGCTCAGCTCTTGGCCCGGCCACTCATCCTCCTGGCCGCTGTTTGTGCTGGTTTTCTTGGCCTGTTGCTCGTGAGTGTGATTTAGGAGCTTGATGAAAATTGAGGGGATTTTTTGTTGTGCCTAGGGGAACTTTTACATAGACTTGAGTTTCTTGTTGGTGATTCCTTCCTTGGAGTCTGGGTCACTTTGGTGGCCTCAGACTTTCAACCCAGTAAGACTTGCCTCTGCTTGAAGTCTGTCCCCCGGGGCTGGTGTTGAGGAAATGCCCTCAGGATGCAGGGTGAGGGGAGGTGGAGTTTATCTCAGTGTCTGCCTTCTGTCTTTGGCCTCGCTGGGTCACCTACCCCAGGGCTTCCCAGCAGCTTTTAAATGTATTTTTTGCCTATCATTTATTCTTACTTTCAGTAGGTGGTTAATCCAATATGAGTTATATTATCATGGCCAGTAACAAAGCACCCACATTTTTTTTAAACTAACTTTTTTCCCCTTGACTATAATAGTATATTTTCATTGTAAAGCATTTAGAGAATGCAAAAAACTCTGCTGTAGAAAATTGAAATTACCTATAACCTTGCTACCAAGAGATTATGTTCTTTTTAATCACATAAATTTTGTTTTTATTTTAAAATCTCGTTCTATTATTATAAAAAGGCCAAGTCACTCTGGAAGTCTGTTAACAAAAGCCGCAGTTCCTAGACCTCGCTTGTCGCCTTATTTTCTGCTTCCCGGAGTCGACCACTTTCAGCTCCTTTAACTGTTTTTCTGTTTATCAGCGATTGTGAATCACACGCCTTTATTATTTTGTTTTTAGTCTGAAGCCTTGACTGTGGACTCCGTACTTCGGAGGATAAGGTGTAGCTGCCTTTCCGCCTTGGTTCTCCTCCCCTGGCCTCCCCAGATACACCTGTACGTCCCGCCCCCGTCTCCTGCACGTACACTTACGATCGTGGTGAAACCAGGATGCAGTGCTGGGATTCTTTTGACCGTGTATGTTCTAATCAAAGCTAAGATGATTGTACCATGACAACTTTTCTTTCTGGCACAATATTTTGTTTTCCCTTCAGTGAATAATTTTTATTTTTTTGCTTTGTTTTCCACGTCCTTGTTACTAGTCTCTGGCCGAACTCTCCCCTAGGTATGTTTATCTCTTCTCAGATCATCCAGATACATTAGGTATTATGTGGGTTTGGCCTTCCTAGAACCATTTCTTTGGACTCCCCTCTGACCTGCTCCAAACTAGACGAGCTTTTCCTCTGACCTGCTGGAAAGCTGTCGTCCTGGCCTCTGCCTTTACCTGTTCTCATGTCAGTCAGATCTCTTACTGCCTGAAGTCCTTGGCCTTCTTTTTCTTGACGTATTCCCCCATTTTACTGGCGTCTCTGGGACATGGGGTGTGTGTGTGTGTGTGTGTGTGTGTGTGTCCATGTGTCCTTGTGGGGCAGAAACCACTGCTGTCCCGCGGTGCCCGGTTCTCTCTCCCTCCTCGCGCTGGGCTTCCCGTGCCCGCCTTGGGTCTGGGTTGGCATGTGGCTGCTTGGGCAGAGACTGCAATTCCCAGCTTCCTTCTGCAGCTGAAAGTGGCCTTGGAGTAGGTTGTATTGAGTGTAATAGCCATTCATGTGGCTTTTCATTCTTTTCCCAGCTTTATCGAGTTGTGATTGGCAAATAAAAAGTTGTCTATTTTTAAGGTGTACAACATGGTGTTTTGGGGTTTTTAATTTTATGTATATACATTTTATTGAAGTACAGTCAGTTTACAATGTTGTGTCAATATCCGGCGTACAGCACAATGCTTCAGTCATCCAGGAACACACATATATTCGTTTTCGTGCTCTTTTTCACCAAAAGTTACCACAAACACCATGGTGTTTTGACATAAATATACCTTGTGTTGTGATCGCCACAGTCAAGCCAGCTAACGTGCCCATCACCCACAGTTACCCTTTTGTGTGTGGGACACGGACACTTAAGATCTATTCTCCACGAATCTCAAGCACACTGTTCATTGTTAGCAATTAGCCACACTGTGCATGGAGTCTCCGAAGGTTTGGACCCTTTACGGACATCTCCCCGCTTCTCTGAGTTCCACTTGTTTAGATTTCACTTACACGTGGTTGCATGCAGTGTTTGTCTTTCTGTGTCTGGCCTGCTTCCCTTAGTGTAATAGCCTCCAAGAATTGCCTTCTTTCTTAGGGCTGCATACTCTTCCATTGTGCATGCGCCCCACGTTTTCTTTATCCGTTCTTCCGACGACGACACTTGGGATGTTTCTGTATCCTGCTGGGAATGACTGCTGCAGTGAGCGTCGGATGCAGAGTTGTCTTCTGTATCCTGTTTTCTTTTCTGGGATAAATACCCAGAAATGGGATTGCTGGGTCCTGTGGCAGTTCTATTTTTAATGTTGGGGGAACCACCATGCTGTTTGCCACAGTGGCCTCACCAGCTCATGTTCCCACCAGCAGTGTGTTGGGACTCCCCTTCCTCCACATCCTCACCACTAATTGTCACCTGTCCTTTTGGTGACAGCTGCATGAACAGCAGGGAGATGCCCTCTCCCTGTGGTTTTGATATGCGTTTCTCTGATCATTGGTGGTGAGCACCTTTTCATGTACCTGTTGGCTATTTGTGTGTCTTTTAAGAAATACCTATTCAGCTCACTTGCCCATTTTAAAATTGCTATTATTAATTAATAATAGAAAGTTAATTTTAATTTGCCCAGTATTTTGCTGTTGAGTTGTATGAATTCCTTAGATATTTTGGATGTTAACATCTTATCAGACCCATGGTCTGCAGACATGCTCTCCCATTCTGCAGGCTGCCTTTTCACTTTGTTGCTGTTTAATTTTTCCCTTTGCTGTGCAGGTGCTTTTTGCTTTAATGTGGTCCCGCTTTGAGGGGAGGGGCTTTTGTTGCTTGTGCTTTGGTGTCATGTCCGAAAATCCCCCCCTAAGAGGTGTATGGTCTTTTCTGAAGCGCCTGTTCAAGTGTCTTGCCTACTTATCCATTGTGTTGCTTTTCTTTTGGTGTCTATGAGTTCTTTGTTAGTTACATGTGTTGTAAATATGTTTTGTCTTTTAGTGGCTTGTCCTTGCAAACTTGTCCTTAAAAACACTAACTGTAAAGTAAAGGGATGAATACATTGAACTGTAGTAACATTCACGATTTCTATTCTTCAAGAAGTGCCGTTTAGTAGAATGCTGAGTAGAGGGGCCACGTTATTGATTCAGAGGAGTTGAAGTCTCACGTTAATTCAAGTCTATTCTGAAAATGCCCATTGTCAAATTAAGGAATCTCCTTAGAGTCTTGTTTTATAAAGAGTCATTGAATTTTATCAAACTCTTTTTCTGAATCAAAATGGTTGTATGATTTTTCTCCTTTCTTATGTTAATGTGTCAAATAGCATGAATTGATTTCCAGATAAACAGGCCTTGTCAGTGTTATCACTTCTTTTTCGTTGCTACCTGTCTTAAAATTGTGGATCTCATCGTGTCTTATTCTTTTGGCTGTTTTGATTTGCTTCTCTATAAATTGTATTTATATTCTTTACTCTTTTTATATTACGTTGCCTGCTTTTTTCTTGTGAATTTTTAATCTGGTATAAATAACTTTATCTAGTTTATCATCACAGTTTTTTCCAGTCTGCTGTTTCACTTATTTTTATGCTATTTTTGATCATGCAGTTTTATTTTGTTTTTAAATTTTCATGAAGGTATGTCTTTTTTTTTAATTTATATTTTCTGAATTTCCTTTACTGGGTGAAAAATATCCCCAAGTCTTTAGATTAGAAAGACAGATAACAGACACATGTATGCAGGCACACACATATGTCATCCAGTTGGAATTCTAAAGTTTTTCCTTGGTTATTTTTAGATAGTTATGATTTCAAACAGAATTTAAGTTCATTCTGTCTAACTGGGTATTGTGACTGGAATGGTATTCAAGATGTATATTGATTTTTGGAATAGTATTTTTTAATTCAAAAATTTAGTGTGTCTTTCTTTTTGCACTAATCTTGTTTTATGTTTTTCAGTAACACTTTGTTTTCTTCGTTAAATTCTAAAACCTTTTTTGGTAAATTTATTTTTATACAATGTGTGTATTTTTGTCTTTATTATGGATGACATTTTTTTTCCATTGCCCTAAGTTGTTATTTCTAGTTAAAATAAAGCTATACTTTTATCTGTCTATATACATAAAATTTTATCTCCAGACTCCCTACTGAATTATTAAATCTATTTAGAGTTTTTTTCCCTTGAATCTTAAATCTTAAGCAGCAGCCTTTATCACTAGTAAGAAGGAAGTTTTTGTTGGACATCTGATTATTTCTCTTTCTTCTTGCTGCATTTGTCAGGCCCTCCTGAGCGATCATCAGTAAAACCAGTCATATATATATACATATATAAAATATCAGTTTCGCCTAAAGGAAAAGGCTTAGCTACCTGAGAAATCTAATGAAAGTTAAGGTTGTCTATCACACGCTTTACTCGTTTATTAATTTCTAATACACGACAGAACTTACACAATAATTACCTGTTGTAAGAATGAACTTTGTTCTAAATGCTGTTACAGATAAAATTCAAGTCACTTTGAGAACGTTGCATGATTTTTATTTTTCTGTTGTTTCAGAGATTTCTCCTGAAAGGGAGAAGTGCAAACCCTTAATGACAGGAGAAGAAGAAGTAAAATGTATTTCACCTGAGACGGACCTCTCAGCTACTGCTGATTCTTCTGTTGAGACAAACGGTCAAAACTTGAGTGAGGCGTCTCCACAGTCATCGCTGAAACCAGAAGGAAATGGGGATGGTAGGTTTTAATGGTCAAAGTGAGCTTTATTTGATTCAAAAATACTTTAATATCTTTTTTATAAACAAATCATCAAAATACGTATATATTGTTTTGTGCAGTTCATCTCAAATTAGGTTCAAAAATTTTCTAGTAATTAGTCTTTTTAAAAATTATTGCTACCTAGCAAATTGCCCCAAGACGTAGTGTTAAAATAACAGCCGTCTCATCTGTCTCCTAATTTTGCATCAGGAATTGAGTCAAGGCATGGCTCACCTACACGCTCTCCTGCCCGGTGTGCCTTTGTCTTGAGGGGAGAGCACGGCGGGGTCAGCAGGTGATCAGGCTGGCCTCATGGGCCAGGATGGCCTGACTGGTGTCCTGCTGGGTCCAGCCCAGAGGCTGGGTGAGACCAGGCTCTCCTCCTCCTGCCGTCCACCGGCCTGTCCCTGCACTGTCCCCAGCAGGGACACCTCCCCCGGCTCCCAGGCCCCTGGGGAAGGCCTCTTATGCTTGTAAAGGCTGGTCCCAGACCTGGCGCAGCTGCACCTCTGCAGGCCCTCATTGGTCAAAGTGGTCACAGGCCTGCCTGGACTAGAGGGAGGGAAACAGTCCCCAGCTCTCAAAGGTAAGGGGGCTGAACGTTGTAGCCATCTTGAATGCCAGTCTGCCGTCTGACGAGAATTACCCACGTCCCCTTCGCACGCACAGTACATTTACTGCTCAGAGCCTCATTTTCAGATGTGAAATTCTGTCTCGATTTTCTGTTGCTACAAAACAGACTGCTCCCCAGACGTAGTGGCTTAAAATAACTGTTTTATCTTCTGTCACGCTTTTGTGGATTAGGACTTGGGAAGGTCCCCTCCTCTGTGTGGCATTGCAGGTGCCCCTCGGTGGTTTTCAGCTGTTGGCTGCACTTACTTGGAGGGTCATGTGGCGTCACCCCCATGCATGGTTTCCCCTCCATGTATGGTGTCCTTGCAGGGCTCAGCTGGGCCTCTCGCCTTCGTTTCGGCCCCAGGCCTTGCACGCCATCTTTCCAGGACAGTTGACTTCTTCCATGTTGACTTAGCTTTCCAGATGCCCAGGTGGGAGCTGCCGCTTCCCCTAAAGGCTGGGCCTGGGACGGCGGCCGGCACTGCAGCTATGCCCTGACAGTCCAGGTGCTCATGCTGCCCCCCAGGCACATGGGGAGGGGACATAGAGCCCGTCTGGATGAGGGGCGCGCCAGAGAATTCGCTGTGTGTGCAACTGTCTTTAATTCACCCCGGTAACTGAAACAGTCTTCCTCATCAGAATCACTGCCAGGAGCTGTCTGACGCCTCTTCTTTGAAGAAATGAAATCCTGTTAGGCATGTCCTAGAGGATGTACAGCGGGTTGCAGGAGGGGGCAGGCTCTTTCTACAAAGAGCCACTTGGTAAATATTTTCTACTTTGCAGGCAGCATGGTCACAAATCTAGTTTGTAGAATGAGTCATACTGATATGTTTAAGATGCCAGAAAACAATTATTCATTAAAAATTTTTTTGAAAATTCTCCTGACCCCAAGTGCTGATTTTATGTGTGACCAAAACATCACTTGAGTAAAAGGACTGGTGCAGTGTCAGTCATCTTTCTAAATGGGACAGCTAAATGAAAACTTTTAGAATAGAGAAGGAAAGAGTATCTGGATTTCCAGAGAAAAAGCGGGAGTCGTGGCGGCCGAAACAAGACAGTGTTGATGATCTGAACAGACGGGGGGAAGTTACCAAATTAGGAAAGAAACTCTTCTCACTGCTGTTTACCTGCAGGAACCACCACCCACGTGAAAAGTGAGCCACCGCCAGAAAACAGAGGTGGTTCCCTGCTTAGAGTCATCTGGGGGTCTAGGAAAACAGACTGAGGGCACTGCAGCTGTGTTGTCAGTGCCAGTGTCAAGGTCCAGGTAGCAGGACTCACTGTTGGTTGTTTACATTGGTTGTTGAAAGATTTTGATGATTGACCTGTCCCGTCAGTTACTAATCAGTGACCTTGCAGTCTGTTCTCCTCCCGTATTTCTGACCACAGGTACCACTGCTCTTTAAACTAGTTTTCATTCCTTCCAGAAAGCAATTCACATGTTACTGAAAATTGAATGAAGAGAATTTTTTTTGTAATAATGAAAAACATAGAGTGCACTATATTTCTTTTGAGTATTTTTACGGCAGTGAAAATGCAGAAGGAAAAGGGTCATTTCAGAGACAACTGGAGAGTCAGCACAGTAAAGTTAAAGGTCTGTAGATAAAATACTGCATTTTTTGTTAAATGACCATATCAGCCTAAAACTGGGTGTGATCATTTATAGAAGATTTCTTCAGTTTTCTCTGCGTGGATTTTTGCTCTGAGACCAGCTTTCTGTTTTGGTTTTGCTCTGCAGAGCCTGACGACTTGGAAACAGAAGTCCTGCAGGAGCTGAGGGCAGCAGACGGAGGGGGCGGCTCCCCGCACACGGCCGTGGACGTGTGGGTTAGCGAAGTGGAGGGGGCACACGCAGCTGAGTATGCACCTCTTCCTTGCACTTCAGAACCCAGGTCCCTTTCCTTATTTTAAAGAAATACCCAAATAACCCTATGTGACATTAAATCACCTGATAAAAATAATTTAATTTTGGAATAGATGCTACATTCATGTGGTTCAGAAACTGACAAGTATATGAAGATACACAGTAAGAAGTCTCTTCCCCAATTGTCTCCCCCTCCAGCAAACACGCGCTCTCCTCTGTCCAGGTGTGTTTAATACGTACATAAGCAAAAACCAGTATGTAGGCTCCCTCACTTTTAAGTGCAGTTGTTAGTATAAGGTGCGGAGTTTCTCCCACCTTTTTTCAGTCTGTAATTTGAGAATTTTTTCTTATTACTACTTCGAGGGCTTCCTCTTGGTTGTACTTAACCACTGCCTGGTATTCCATTAAATGGATGTACCGTGACTCTGATCAGTCTCCTACAGTGATTGCCATCACAAATGACGCTACAGTGAATGAGCTTTTAACAAGGTTACTTTGCATGTGTATATTATCTCACTCGAGGTTTCACTCTTCACAATTTTACTTACCCGCCATCAACCACAGTCCAAAATTATTCAGTGGAAAATTCAGAAATAAACGATCTATAAATTTTAATTCATGTGCCGTCCTGAGTAGTGTGATGGAGTCTCATGCCGTCGCACTCTGCCCCGCCCAGGACGTGAACATCCCTTTGTCCAGCGTGTCCACGCTGGGTGTGCCACCTGCATGTTACTCACTCAGTAGTCGTCATGGTTATCAGGTCCACTGTCTGAGTAGCCCAGTGCTCATGTTCAAGTGACCCTTTATGTTGGCCCCGGAGCACAAAGTCGTGATGCTGGCAATTCCAGTGTTCCAGAGAGAAGCCGTCAAGTGCTTCCTTTAAGTGAGAGGTGAGAGTTGGCGACTTAATAAGGAAAGAAGAAAACCATATGCTGCAGTTGCTAAGGTCTGTGGTGAGAATGAACCTTCTGTCCATGAAATAGTGAGGAAGGAGGAAGAAGTCTGTGCTCACTTTGCTGTGGAACCTCAGACTGTAGAAGTTACGCCTCCAGTGTGTGGTCAGTGCCTCATCAAGGTGGAAAAGGCATTAAATCTGTGGGTGAAAGTCAGGAACAGAAGACATAGCTCAGTGCTGTCCGTGTTTCGGCCCCCTGGGGGTCCCAGAGCGTTTCCCCGTGTGACTGAGGGGGACCACTGTGTGTCTGCAGTGGCTGCAGGGGAGATGCAGAGAAGTGTGACTACATGACCTCAGTATCGTCCTCACCAGGGACTGTGCTCATCTGCACACTCAGAGAGGATGTGCGGAGCCTCCTGTTCGCCCCACAGCCTCGCCAAGCTTTTATTAGCAAAGTGCTTGATTTCTGCTGACCTGAAAGGCACGAAGCAGCATCTCAGCTGGGAGCCCTCCTTCACCTCTTTCTGTTTGCTGTTGAGGTTGAGCACATCTTTCCAGATGTGTAGGTTACCTTTGTATTTCCTTTTCTGTGCATTCTCTGTTTGTGTCTTTGATCTATATTTAAAATTTTCATAATTTGGTCTTTGATAACTTGATAAGAACTCTTTAAATATTAGGTATTTTCCCTGGTTATTATGTTAATTGCAACTGTTTTTTCATTGTTGGTCTTTGATGTTTTATTTTTTTGTAATACAGAAGTTTTGGGGGTTTTTTTTTGACATTGTCATGTTTACTTGAATATTGATAATTATTCAGAGAAACTTTGTTTTCTCTAAGGTTATCGGAGTATTTCCATCTTTTTCCCTAGTACTTTCCTGTAGGCACTTTGTACATTTAAATCTTTGATCTGTTTGGAATTTATCTGGTGTCCCTGGGTTCATTTTTCCTTTCAGGCAGCTACCCGATTGTCATAATTCCGTTTATTAAAGGCCCACCTTTCCTGCACAGACTCACATGCTACTTTCATCACGTATTGAATTTTCTTAGTTATTTGGGTTGATTCCTGTACTTTATCTTCCTGTTCTGCTGGCCTTTGTTCAGTGTGCTGGTACACACTGTTTTAATTGGAACATAAAGTATATTTTAAGATCATTTAAAGCTTATTCCCTTTCATTGCTCTTCTTGCCAAGGTAATTTTTCATCTTAAGATAGAGTTTATTAAATTTAGCCCACCTTCTTCCAGTCAATTTGTTTTATTGGGTTGTAAATTTATAAATGAACGTATTGTGTCCATCCTGTCCAGGAAGAGCAGGACGGGCCTTTCTTTTCGGTCAGGTTTGGAGTTTGTTGTTTTCTTCATCTGGGCTTTACATGTTTATTGGTGAGCTTATTCCTGGCTGTAGTATCCTTTGTTCCGTGTTATAAACGGTGCCTCTTCCTCTGTGAGATCTTGTAACCAGCAGGTTGTACATAGGAAAGCTGAGGATTTCTTTACATTGATTTTGTACCCCACTGTCTTACTGATCCTGACTACTGTTCATGATGGATTTTCAGTTGCATGAAGCCACCATCACCAAAACCAGGCAAAGATCACAGAAAAAGAAAATAACAGGCCAGTATCACTTATGAATATAGACGCAAAAACCCTCAGCAAGATACTAACAAATCGACTCCAGCAATGCATTAAAAGGATCATTATACACTGTGATCAAGTGGGGTTTACCCCAGGGATGCAAGGGTTTTCAGTATCTGCAGGTCAGTCAGTGTCACACACATTAACAAGCTGACAAATAAAATCCATGTGATCATCTCAACAGACACAGAAAAAGCTTTTGATAAAATTCAACACCCATTTATCATAAAAAGAAACTCTCCAGAAAGTGGGCCTATAGGGAACATACCACAACATAATAAAGGCCACACATGACAAGCCAACAGCTAACATCATACTCAATGTGAGAAGCTGAAAGCATTTCCTGTAAGATCGGGAACTAGACAAGGATGCCCACTCTCGCCACTTTTGTTCTTAATGTGTTTCTGCAGGAGTCACAGGAAGCAATTTGAAATAGTCTAAATAATCATCAGTAAGGAAGTGGCTGAGAACCTGTTCTTTTCTAAGTATACTGCGTTATGGGTAGTGTCCAGCACTTAAGTACAGTGAAACTCCATGTATTAACATGGGAATGTGTCCAAAATGTTGAATGATTAACAATAAAATTATATTGACTAAAAAAGCATTCCCACATTACAATCACACTGTGATAACCCTGTTAAGTGATTATAGGTGTGCTCAGGTGCACATGCGTGTGTGAATGTAAAGGACAGGTGTGGCTAGACGTGCAGGAAACTGGTAATGTGAAGGCAGCTGGGGTTTTGGGAGTCCTAAAAGTATCCTTCCTTTTTTAATTGAGGTAAAATTTATATAACAAAATTTATCATTTTCATCATTGCAAAGTGTACCATTCAGTGGAATTTATAACAGTCACAGTGTTGTGCAGCCACTACCAGAACATGGTTCCGGAACATTCATCAGCCCCGAGGGGAAGCCCCGTGCCATAAGCAGCCACCCCCGCGTCCCCTCCCCACACCCTCATTACTGCTGGGCCACTCTCTGTCCCTGTGGATATGCAGTTCTGGACATTTCCCGTGGAATCATCTGGTGTGTGGCCTTTGTCCCTAGCCTCTTTGACATAGTGAAACATGTTCACAGCCCCTCTGTGTCCTATCAGGTCTTCGTTCCTTTCTGTAGCTGAGTAATACTCCACTATGTGAATATGCTGAGTATTTTTGTCCTTCAGCAGTCGGTGCACACACGGCAGATGATGGGAGGTTGTTTAACAATTTAAGAGTCTTAAGCATTATCATTTATTAGACATGAATATTTCGTAGTTAGACTAAAAGTTATTGAGGCCAAAGTAAAAGTGAATTGCAAGGATCAAATGATTTTCTCAGTTCTTTTCTTACTATACTCCTTTTTATTAAAAAAAATCATCTTGATGATAATAGCTGTGTTTATTGAGTTCTCCTTACATACTCCTTCGGCCTCCTGGCTGTTGTCATTAGTACTTCTGTGAACGTGGTGTCCAGGCTTTCCTTTGCACACCTGTGCTCAGCTCTTTGGGGTGTACGTCTAGGGGTGGAATTGTGCAGCTCGTAGTGATTTCGTGTGTAACTTTTTGAGGAACCAAGGAACATTACATTTTGAATGAAGAAATCTGTTATTTGTATGATTGAAAATAAAGGCTTTAAAGAATAAAAATGGAAAGTTGTTCAAAATTTAAAACTGAAAAAGTAAAAAATTATCTAAATTTGAAATGAACTGAAAAGTACTAACAAAATAATAACGGCCTTATAAACCAAGACCCCAGAGATAAATCACTGGTACCTTTGGAATATCTTCTTCCAGTCTTCATTAAACTTTTGTTAAAGAACGTAATATGTGAATTTAATTCCCAGCATGTGTTGAGATTAAAATCATGAGTTTTTCTTTACACAAATCAGTTCACTCCCTTTAAGGGTTAAAACACTTTTGTGCATATTCTGTTTTACTGTGCCACCCAGCATTTTTCCGAAACCTAACACCATTTAATATAAGTTGGTCTGCATATTACTTTTCTTACTTAGTAATTGATCTTGGCTGTCACTTTATCTGATTATAAAGATTTCTACTTCACCTTTAATATCTGTATAATATTTCATAGTATTAACATATCATTGTTTTATATTCACTGCTTTTAAGGGGCATTTTTATTGCTTAAAGTAGTGGCTCTCAAACATGAGCAAGCATTAGAATTACTTTGGGATTTATTAAAATAAATTTATTAAAATAAAATAAAATAATAAATAAAATGATAAATAAAGGCCCTGTCCCCAAAAGCCTCTGACTCACGGGGCGAGGGTGAGCCTGAGAATCTGCATTTCTGAGAGGAGTCCCTATGTTGCTGATGTCTAGGGGCTGCGCTCCAGAACCACTGTTGTCAGAACGTCGAGGCTGGTTGCTGTGAATGAGGGTAATGGGTGGAGGTTTGAATGGGATGAAAAGCATGAAGTGCTCATGAGAGCAGGTGTATGTATAAGTGAGGAAAATATTTGGCAGAGGGATCATAGGATGCTAGTGAACTTGTGGTCCACTTTTTCTGTGAGAGTGCTTTTATTTCTAGTAAACTTTTTTTTTTTAACTGGTGTGTCTGTTTGTGGCAGGTTGCAAGATAGGATCACCATTCAGCAAAGTGAGGCTTCTGAGGATGGAGCCCCGGGGAGAACGGAGCAGCTTGGTGAGCCTCACGGAGGTAGCACGCGGGCCTCATCGCCCCCTGGAGACTGTTAGCCCTGCCCTGTTTTATTTGGACTGTATGTTAATAGACAGCATTTCTCACCAATCACCTTAATCATTTAAAAAATATAACAGGCATAGAGCCCTGGACTCTGCATGCATGCATGCATGCATGTATGTATGTATGTATGTATGTATGTATGTATGTATTTATTTATTTATTTATTTATTTATTTGAAGTACAGCTGGATTTATACTGTTGTGTTAGTTTCCAGAGTACAGCAAAGTGATTCGGGTTTTTATCTGCGAATCCATTTCTGTTTTGCATATAGATTCATCTGTATTTTCGATTTCACGTATCAGTGATAACACATCGTATTTGTTTTTCCCTGTCTGACTGACTTCACTAAGCATAATACTCTCTAGGTCCATCTGCATTGCTGCAGCTGGCAGGATTTCTTTCTTTTTTATGGCTGCTGGACTGCATTTATAAGCCTGTGTTGTTTGGCAATGTGAGCAACAAAACTTTTGAGTGTTCAAAACAAAAAGAATTGGTTGCCAAAGCTAAGCCAATGTCTGAGAACATGAAATAAGCAGTCTTCTTATTTCTAATAGTACTAGTTGAAATATAAGAAATACAATTTTTTTATCTTTAACCGATAGAAACCAAGATAAGCTGGAACTAGATATGAGTGTTTAACCCTTATTTTTTCGTATTTCTTTGCGTTTGTTTCTACATTTTAGAACTTCTGATACAATGGAAGTATATAACAAATTAAATCTCCTTTCTGAAAATAAAACATACCCAGTTAAAGATTATTTATAAGATAATATAATTACATATATGTTTTGATTTTGGTAGATTTTTTTTTATAAATATGCAGTTTTTTGCTGGAATTCATGTTAAATACTGTCCTTTTTGCGTACCACTTGGAACTTTATTTCAGTTCTGTGTAGACTTACCACATCATCTCTTCTTCATCCCACAGAACCTGGAGCGGATGATTCTCAGCATTCGGAGTGTGGTGTAGAGAAATCTGTGCCACCAGAGCCGTTTTTCCACAGGGTGTTTCATCCTAACCACTTGAGTGTCGCCTTTCATGTTCAGTCACCTCTGTGTTCACGAGGAGAATCCTTCCCACTTCGGCCTCACTCTGATTCACCACCAAAAAGCAGGAAACAGAATTCCTTGCTGATTGGACTTTCAACTGGTCTGTTCGATGCAAATAACCCAAAGGCAAGTGCTCCTCCGATGGAAAATGTTATCCATTTGGTAACATTTCATATTTTCATGTTTTTCTTTGATGAGCCATAGTAGTGAGTTTAATCCCTTAAAAACCAAACGCATAACATACACACACGCCCCAAAACAAACAGAAACAAGGAAAACTCTCCATCTTACTACCTGATACTGGAAAGAAATTCCATTGCATGAACAGCCAGGATGGAGATGCTTCCTTGGCCGTGTCAGGGTCTCGTCACAGGACCTGCTCTCATTCCCTCAGAAGACCCCCCTCCCCCTCTTACACTGCCCCTCCCACTGCCAACCCAGCTCCCACTTCCGGTGTTGGACTAGCTGACGTGTTACGTCTTGAATGGATAGACTGATCTGTGCCTAGGAAGGTTAATAGATGTTCATCGGCACTTTGTGGTAAAAGTTTTCCAAACCTCTTACCTTTTATCACTTGCTGTTTTAAAAATATGTGACCATTTTTTTCAATTAAAATATTAGCGAGAAGGTTTGGCTTATTGATAGAGTGTATGCTTAGCATGCATGGGGTTTGAACCCAGGACCTCCATTAAAAAAAACAGTGATATTGTATATTGCCTGACTCTCCTCTGTTGATCTGTGTGTCTGTGTTTGTGCCAGTATCACACTGTTCTGATTACTGTTGCTTCAAAGTGTAGGCTGATGTCAGTGAGCCTGACTTCTTCAGCTCTGTTCTGTTTCTCAGGATAGTTTTGGCTATTTGGGGTCTTTTATGTTCATATAAATTTTAAAATCATTTGTTCTAGTTCTGTGAAAAATGCCATTGATAATTTGCTAGGGATTGCATTGAATTTGTAGATTGCCTTGATAGTATGGCCATCTTGACAGTATTGGTTCTTCCAGTCCAAGAACATGGTGTATCTTTCCCTCTGTTTCTGTCATCTTCAGTTCCTTTCATCAGGGTCTTACAGTTTTCCAAGTTCAGATCTTTTGCCTCCTTAGGTCATCTTTGCCCTTGTTTATGGGTTGAAGTGAGCAAATAGTCGTAGGAGCCATTTTGAGGGTGCAGCGTTACAGTTTAATTGCAGTAAGCAGAGGCTGAACATGTGCTCCTCATAAACAATTCTATAGTATAATCAGAGGATTACTAATTCATAGTTTTGTATGGAAAATACTACAAATGGGAAAAGTGAGTTGGTAAAATTAAGTAGAATTTCACGTGAGTTGTGTTAGTGCAGCTGGTACTTAATTCATTCACTGCCTTACATTTCTCTTCATTTTTGAGGAAAAGTAGAACTTAACCATAACAAACACCTAAATTTTTAAAACTGTTCTGAGGTTTTCTAAAGCATTGCTATCCTGTTTGATTGAACTTTTTTTATTGAGTTATAGTCATTTTTCAGTGCTGTGTCAAATTCCAGTGTAGAGCACAATTTTTCAGTTATACATGAACATACATACATTCATTGTCACATTTTTTTTTCGCTGTGAGCTACCACAAGATCTTGTATATATTTCCCTGTGCTATACAGTATAATCTTGTTTATCTATTCTACATTTTAAAATCCCAGTCTATCCCTTCCCACCCCCACACCCCCTTGGCAACCACAAGTTTGTATTCTATGTCTGAGTCTGTTTCTATTCTGTATTTATGCTTTGTTGTTTTTTTTTTAGATTCCACCTGTTTGATTTATAGTGGTATCAAATGCTAGCTACATAAATTATTGTGCTACAGAGAATTTAGAAAAAAGTTAGTCCGACTGTAATCGAAGTAAGATCTCAGGCAACGTGTTCTAGATTAACTGCTGTTTTCTGAAGGATTTCTTTGTATGAGTGTCAAACTATAGAATATTGTTTAAACAATATGAAATAAATCTAGTAGATTCAGAGTTATAGAACCAATAGGGTTATTGTATAGAATTCTCCTAAATGAAGACGAATGTCCTGCCTAAAACTTTAACAGTCTCTCAGAGAAGACTGAACATTAAGGGTTTTAAATACAGCCTCTGTAGGAACTGTTGGATTGCTGGATATGTAAACCCATTTCATGGGGTACCTACCACTTGAAATCTCTTTCTAACTGTATTATTTTGTGTTAGGTTGTGAAGTTTAACTAGTGAAAGGAATAAACTAGAACTGAGATTATTTTACCAGGGCAATATTTATCTCAGCTTAAAGGATATTGCATACTTTTATGTGGTCCCTGTGTGTGTGTGTGTTCACACATGCACTGTGAGTATATGTGTATACATTACGTGTATGCACACATATCATGCATTACACATATGCATTATGTTGTATGTGTATATATGCAGTATAATGCGTCTATGCTATTTATTTTTATTGATTAACATGTATCTGGATACACTGTTACTGGCTGCATGTTTTGCACACGCCTAGTTTATAATATACATGGTTCAAACCATTAAAAGAATAAACAATCAAGCGTAAATTCTGCTGACATGGGAGATTCAACAAAGAAGAGCTTTCAGGACCACTGTGCAGTGCTTCACAGGCCCTCCCTGGATCTGCACCACCTTGTCGTTTGTAACTGTGTTTTTCCCTCTTGAATGCCATAATATGTAAATTATGTTCAAATAATAGAATTCTATTCTTTTTTATTCTCAAAAACAGATTGTACCAATAAAACTGGCGAAGCACATACATTTTCGTTCCTGTGCTAAACATTGTGTTTTCTCCACAGCCTTCCACCTGGAACTGGGTTCTTATTAGGGCCGTAGGAGTCATGTTTCAGTCTTACAGATTCCCTTAGGGTTGACACAGCCCCAAGACAGACTTCCATAGGTGTATGTCTCCTGGCCCTCTCTGCCCATCACGTTCTGCCTGCTGAAAGGTTGGCAGACAGAGGCTCTTCCTAGTGTTCTGGTCTTATGCAACACAGGTGCACATTTTAAGCAGCTCAACTGTGCACTGTTTTTTCTCAGCTCAGTGTGCTGAGTTCCTCCTCACCCTGCTGCTCTAAACGCATCTTAGTGTGAACAGCAAGGTGTCTGTCTTCCCAGCTGTCCCTTATGGTGGAAAGGCTCCCCTCACAGTCCATTGCTCAGGGAACTGATAGTGGACCCTTCTTTGCACTAATTTGAGGCCCCTGATTTAAGCAGTGTGGCCCAGAGGGCATCCTCTACGGTAGAGCGGCGCAAAGGACCCTGACTGCGTTGATGGTGCTCAGCCAAGCATGGACAGAAGTGGACGGGAAGTGCTGGCCGCCGGAAAATGAGGACAACTTGGCAGAGGTGCCATGCCAGCGGGTTGACGGGCCTGACCCACTCCAGCTCCATTCCCTGTACACATCCCCTTACAAACCCCCTCCCCACCTCTTAAAGGGACTTCACACTGAAACCCAAGCAGAACTCACAACCTTAGTTTCGTTGCTGAAAAAATACTGAGCTGAGGTTCAAGAGAAGTAGGTTCTCATGTTGGACAAGTCACCCCTGAGTTTCTAGCTCTAAATGTGTGATTGATTCCTATATATACAAATTATTATTAACTCTGATTTTCTAACGTTTTCTCTCATTTTCATTCTCTCACTGTCTCACTCCCAATAAGAAATCTGTTGCCTTTTTTTAGATGTTGAGGACTTGTTCGCTTCCAGACCTCTCAAAGCTGTTCCAAACGCTGATGGACGTCCCCACTGTCGGAGATGTGCGGCAGGACAGTCTTGAAATGGATGACGTGGAAGAGGAGCACGTGAAGGAGGGACCTTCGGACTCTGAGGACATGTGAGCACGACGTCGTTTATGGATGCTAACGCTGACGGAGCTTCTCCGTTTATACGTGTTCTGGGACGGGGACTTAGCACGCAGTTTTAAACATGATCCTTAGCGGACTTTACTCCTTTAACTGTTTACAACATATTTAAAGTGCAGTCAAGTAAACGTTGATATGTGTTTGTGCCTCTGAATACTGTAACTTAACCTCACTGGAGGCAGGTAAGGAAGAGGTTATACTGTGCTCTCTGTCTGGCTCGCACTGAGCACCTGGCCCACTGCTAGAAGTGGTTTGTGTTTCGTTGAGTGCCTGTTGCAGGATGCTGGCTGTGTGCACCACCTGTGGTACAGGACTGCAGTGGGAGAGTGATGGGCGAAGGCCGGAAAGCTGCATCCACAGCTGTCTCCTGCCATTGTGATGTCACCCGTGGCAGCGGGGAGGTAGAGGGGAATAGCTGTTGGGTGTGTACGAGTGTGTGCGTGTGTGTGTGTGGGTGTGCGCGTGCGGGGGCTCACGGGAGAATTCCACATGTAACTTAGTTGCTGTCACAAAACTCCTTTCTTACTGCTTCATGAGGAACCTAGAGTCCAAGAGGGAAGCTGAACCAGCACTTCTGAAAGCGGTGGGAAGTGGGGGCTCCTTAGACAGGGGTACCCCTTCCCCTTCTCTGGTATCAGTCAGTCTTCTCAGCCCGTCAGACAAATGTTACAGACTTTTTGGGGAAATAAAACGAGAGTACCCTGGAGTAAAGTATTCGAGAAGTGTATACAGGGCATCAGGAAAATATTACAAAATATCATAATTTTTATGATTTGTTTTCAGATTCGTTTGAACTTGAGTTTCTCCTTTCACCTCTGCCTTTCAGTAGAAAGAACGTGCGTTCTGATCTGGCTGAAAGCGCTGTATCAGCCTCAGGGTCTCTCTCCCTGTGATCCTTGAGCTGGCCCACTGCGTCCAGTACATTTGATTTCCTGGTTTTGTTTTTCGTAAGTCTTGCCCATTGCTTTTTCAGTTTATAGCCAAGCTTTATCTTTTAATGGTAGACTTTTTTCCCCATAGAGTTCTGTAAATTTTTGCAGGTGCCCTCAAAATTTGGAGAAAAGTTACCTTCGTATCCTTAATTTCTTTGGCTTGGTCTTCAAGCACTCTACCTTGTGTTTTTATTAAGCCTGTTTGAGAACAACATTTCAGCAACTCTGTGGCTGGCAGCGTGTTAAGTGAGTTTTTTCCTCAAAGGTTTTAGGAGTCATCAGTTTTTATCTGAGTGAACTGTAGCTTATTTGTGGGTTGTATTCTCTTAATTACTACTTGATGACAGAATTTTACTTTTAAATTTAAGTTAGCTTTTAATCTTTTTTTCAAAATTTGAAAACTAAGTTATTCCACATCCATATAAGGAAATTTTACTTGTAAGTTTCCTTTGGAAAATATATATGTATTTTTTGCTCCAAACTTTATTCAAGTTCAAACAGAAAACCTACTAAGAAACACATTCGGGACCAGATTTTAAAGTACCTGAGACAATGTTTTGAGTGCTAATGTCATAAAAGGCCTTAGTCTTCTCACTTTCCTACAACGGCAGACTTAGCGGCCGCCCGCTTTCACGCCTGTGTCTGGCCGGCGCTAGGCCGGCTGCGGGAAGGTTTCCCGAGCGGCTGGTGTCTGGACACACGGCAGTGTACAGAGCGGGTTCGGTGGTGCGGTGGTCCCGTGATTAAACACTAAGCTAAATGCTCCTGGAACGATGACCCAAAGGTTGAGACACTCTCATTCTCATCCCATTAGCTCCTTGCTTTGCCAAAGCTGCTGCAGAGCCAAAGAATAGGAGTTTTGTTCACATACCTACAAAATACAGATATTTCTACATTAAAAACTTAAATTTTCTCTTACTGAAAATTTTACTTAAGGCCTCACATTACGTTTGTATTTTAGTTCTTCGGTCAGTATTTGTTTGCTCGGTTAGAAGGGCCTTCCTCAGCCCGGCGTCGTGGTCTCCCTCGCTCTCCTGCGGGCCTAGGCCGCAGTGCGCGCCCTGGTCTCGGGCCCCAGCAGGGCCCCGTGCACCTTCAGTCTCGGGTCTGCGAGCGGTTCCCTCGCCACCCGGGCGGAGGGCGGTGATGCTCAGTGTAACCCTTCCCGTTGCAGCGCGTTCGCGGAGGCCGACGCAGACCTGCAGGAGCTGCAGGCGTCCATGGAGCGGCTGCTGCGGGAGCCAGGGGACGAGGACAGCGAGGAGGAGCGGCCGGCGCTGCGGAGCAGCGGCGCGGGGCCGGGCCCCGGGGACGAGGACGACAACCCCAGTAGCGACAGCGCGC